ATTAAAACCACTATATATTGCAAAAAAAAAAAAAAAAAAAGACACCCTTTTCCAAATTATGTAGATATTTTATAGTGAATTATTTTGGCTAAGTTTTTGCTTTTTTGCATCTCATTCTTCATAATTAAGAATTCCTTGCTGCTTCATACCTATGCATTAATTAAGACTCAGTACTTGCTTCACTCATATCTTAGGTAATGTAGGGTGGGTGTAACTGGGCTGAGTTCCCACAGTTTTTTTTGTATGCATGTCAACTTTTGAACTCCTTTGATGCTTTAATTTAAAATAAATGACTAACAAGAGCTAGAACTTGAATGCAATATAACTAGATATGATTCACTATTTGCTAGCTTAATCATCTGACATGGTTTTAAAATATTGTTTTCCTCCTTTTTTCTTATTCTCACATGTTCTTAGAGTTGCACAATACTAAGACGTTTAATGACCAATTTATTTTAAAAAATCTTTTGTTAACACATACTACTTTTTCCAATGACTTTCTTACATCTAAATATTTTCGATTGAATTCTAGTTTTGTCTGAATTTTTACTTAGTAATAAATACATTCTCTTGATTAACATCACTTGCTTCTGTGGCCCACAATCAAATAATAATTACATTTTCATCTAAGTATAAGAATTTTTTATTTACATAATAAAAAATATACTTGCTTTGAGGTTTTATCTTTATGTGAGATATATGTAGAACATGGTGTAAGCAGTCATCATACCCTTTTACTAAGCACTTGTCTTTCAGGTAAGAAAGAAAACTATACAAATCTCATCAGGTTTGGGAATACTTTAGTTAGAGAATAAGGATAACTGCTCTTTTAGTCTTCTAAAATAATAAATCTGTCTCTGTCTTGGGTGGACAAAATAAATCTTTTTTGTTTTATCTTCTATTTTGTATAGACAATAGAATGTGAATATTAATTTAAGAAAATCATACATAATTGGTAGGAGTCCTTTCTGTGCTTAAAGGATGATTTCATAATGTAATAGCTCATTGTTGACAATCCATAATTTTAAGTTAAATGTTTCCATGACTAACTCCTATTCTGTCATAATTATGTGATCTGTTAGCATAGGTTGGCTAATGAATTAATGTATCCGTTTGAAAAATAGTTGTACTTTAAAACATAAACTGGAAAACCATAATTAGCCATTATAATGAAAATAGAACTTTACTTTGAACAGTCAGCATTTGACAGAGGACAAAGAAGTTGCCATTATACAGGTTCCCCTCTGACCTTGTTATATTTTCCTAATCGATGATGGGTGGTGGTGTCTTAGTCACTTCCCTTTTTTGTCTTATACTTCTTGCTCAAATAATTCCCAATATGCTTTTCCACTTTGCTTTTCTAAAATCATACAATAGTAGAATTGAAGGTGGCCTTGAATTTCTTCTGGTTCACTTGGTGTATTTCCAACTGATGAAACAGATTTAGTGACTTGGTTGATGCTGTTCAGCTGTTTAGTGCATAGCAGAGACTGGATATCAAGGTGGTTTTTTTTTTTTTTTTTTTTTTTTTTTCCGTTTTCACTGACAGAAAGTTAGTGCCAAATAAATATTTGTTAAACTGAAGTAACTATTTTCACTATACCATTCTTTAGGTAAGTGGCACATGACTACATTTAATCTTCTTAATAATGATGAAGTCGATTAAATAGTGATGTTCCTTCTCTTCCTTTCCTCCCTCTCTCTGTCCCTCCCTCCCTTTCTCTCTGTTTCCCTCCAACCCCAGGCTGGAGTGCAGTGTCACAATCATAGCTCACTGCAGGTTTGATCTATTGGGTTCAAGGAGCCCACCTCCCACCTCAGCCTCTTGAGTAGCTGAGACTACAGGCATGCCACTGTGCCTGGCTTTTTTTTTTTTTTTTTTAATTTTTGGAGAGACGGGGTCTCACTTGTTGCTCAGGCTGGTCTCGAACTCCTGGCTTCAAGCAATTCTCCTGCCTTTGTCTCCCAAAGTGTTGGGATTATAGGTGTGAACTACTGTACCTGGCTGCAGTTATTTCCTTAAATATTCTGTTTCCTATAATAATCAACCATTATTATTATTATTTTTTTCTCCACGGAGAAATCTTAAGCTCCTTTTATGTTGTAGATATTTTTCAGAAGTTCTTGGTTGGTTCCTTTGTTTCTTTCATTCCTCCTTAAGTGAAAAGAATTCTCCCCAGCTTTCATGTTTGCTAAATAGTGGGGTATATGGTACTGTTGGACCCTATGCTGTTTACTTAGCAGCTCCTGGCATTAGGTGCAGGGCTGGTTAAAGTGTGTATCTCCCAGCACAATATCTGGGGTTTAGCAGGAATTCCTGTAGTTTAATTTAGTGAGGGATTTGTTTATGTAACTATATATCCATTTAATGCTGTAAATTTCCCCTTAAGCACTGCTTTTGCTGCATCCCACAAATTTATTCTCTTAAATTAAGTTGTATCTTATGGGTCAGAATGTAATCTGTCTTGGTGAACATTCCATATGAGCTTGAGAAGAATGTGTATTCTGTTGTTGGATGAAATAGTCTACAGATATCCATTATATTCAGTTGACTGATGTTGTTGAATTCACCCACGTCCTTAATGATTTTCTGCCTTCTGGATCTGTGCATTTCTTTCTCTCTTTCTCTCTGTCTTTGAGACAAGGTCTCACTCTCTGTTGCTCAGGCAGGAGTGCAGTGGTGTGGTGTGACCAAAGCTTACTACAACCTTGAACTCCTCTGTTCAAGTCATCCTTCCTCCTAAGCCTCTTGAGTATTTGAGACTACTTGTGTAGTCCACTGCACCCAACTATTTATTTACTTATTTATTTGTTTGTTTGTTTTTACAGACAGTCTCATTATGTTGCCTAGGCTGGTCTCGAACTCCTGGCCTCATGTAATCTTCCCACCTTGGCCTAGCAAAGTGCTGGGATTATAGGCGTGAGCCACGGTACCCAGCCCGGATCTGTCCATTTCTGATAGTGGATTCATCTATTTCTCCATATAGTTTTTGTTTTTTGGTGTTCTATTGTTAGGTGCATACACATTCAGGATTGTTATGTCTTCTTTTATCATCAGGTAAAGCTCTCTTTATCTCTGATAACTTTCCTTGGTTTGAAGTCTGCTGTCTGAAATTAATGTAGCTACCCCTGCTTTCTTTAAATTAGTGTTAACATAGTATATCTTTCTCTATCCATTTTAATCTATTAAAAGTAAATGTGTCTTTATATTTAAAGTGGGTGTCCTGTAGAAAACATATAATAGGTTCTGCTTCCTGATCCACTTTGACAATCTGTCTTTTAATTGCTACATTTAGACAATTGACATTTAAAGTGATTAGTGATATAGAGGGACAGCTCTTTTTTTTTTTTTTTCCAGAGTCTTGCTCTGTCACCCAGGCTGGAGTGCAGTGGCGTGATCAAGGCTCACTGCAAGCTCCGCCTCCCGGGCTCACACCATTCTCTTGCCTCAGCCTCCTGAGTAGCTGGGACTACAGGCGCCCACCCGCAAGGCCCAGCTAATTTTTTTGTATTTTTTTAGTAGAGCTGGGGTTTTACCAGTTAGCCAGGATGGTCTCAATCTCTTGATCTCGTGATCCACCTTCCTCGGCCTCCCAAAGTGCTGGGATTACAGGCGTAAGCCACCGTGCCCAGCCAGGGATAGCTTGTTTTATGGCACTTCACTTTATTGTGCTTTGCAGATATTGTGTTTTTTTTACAAATTGCAGGTTTGTCTTTTTTTAAAAAACTAAATTTTACAAAAATTATAAAATTATTAAAAAAAGAAAAAGGGTCTTGTTATGTTGCCCATCCAGGCTGGTTTCGAAATCCTGGGCTCAAGCAATCTTCCTGCCCTTCCCTCCCAAAGTGCTGGGATTACAGGCATGAGCCACCGCACCCTGCCTTTTTTTTTTTTTAAATTGAGACAGAGGTCTTGCTTTATTACCTAGGCTGGAGTGCAGTGGTGTGATCATAGCTCACCGCCACCTTGAATTTTTGGGCTCAAAGGATCCTCCTGCCTCAGCCTCTTAAGTGACCAGGGTCATAGGCATGTGCCACCACAGCCAGCTAATTTTTAAATTTTTTTGTAGACATGAGGTCTCACCATGTTGCCCAGGCTGGTCTCAAACTCCTGAACTCAAGGGATCCTTCATCCCCAGCCTCTCAAAGTGTTGGGATAATAGGGGTGAGGTTCCCTTGAGCCCAGGGTTTGGAGGCCAGCCCCCTTGTCCTGTGCCTGGCTACAAATTGAAGGCTTGTGGCAACTCCTCATTGAGCAAGTCTGTTGGCACCATTTTTCCAATAGCACATGCTTACTTTGTGTCTCTATGTCACATTTTGGTAAATTTCTATTTTGTTATTTATTATTTGTTATTTTTATTTTTAGTTAAAAAATAGAGATGGGGGTCTTATTATATTGCCCAGGCAGGTCTTGAACTACTGGCCTCAAGTGATCCTCCCAAAATGCTGGAATTACAGGTGTGAGCCACCACACTTGACCACACTTTTGTAAGTTTATAAACTTTTTCATTATCTGTTATGGTGATCTGTGATCAGTGATCTTTGATGTTTCTATTGTTTTGTAGAGACACAAACTGCACCGTATAAGATGGCAAATTTAATTGATAACTGTGTATCTTCTGACTGCTCTTCCAACTGGCTATTCTCCAATCTCTCTCCTCCTCAGGCCTCCCTATTCCCTGAGGCACAACAATGTTGAAATTGGACCAGTTAAGAACTCTATAGGCCGGGCAGGGTGGCTCACGCCTGTAATCCCAGCACTTTGGGAGGCTGAGGTGAGTGGATCACCAGGTCAGGAGATCCGGACCATCCTGGCTAACACGATGAAACCCCGTCTCTACTAAAAATATACAAAAATTAGCTGGGCGTGGTGGCGGGTGCCTGTAGTTCCAGACACTCAGGAGGCTGAGGCAGGAGAATGGCGTGAACCCGGGAGGCGGAGCTTGCAGTGAAATGGCGCCACTGCACTCCAGCCTGGGCCACAGAGCGAGACTCCGTCTCAAAAAACAAAACAAAAACAAAAACAAAAACAAAAATCCCTGTAATGCTGTCAGTGTTCAAGTGAAAGAAAGAGTCATATATCTTTCACTTTCAATCAAAAGCTGGAAATGATTAAGCTTAGTGAGGAAGGCATGCCAAAAGCCAAGACTGGCTGAAAATTAGGCCTCTTGTTCCAGTCAGCCAAGTTGTAAATGCAAACAGAAAGTTCTTGAAGAAAATGGTTACTCCAGTGAACATACGAATGATAAGAAGGCAAAACAGCCTTATTGTTGATATGGAGAACGTTTTAGTGGTCTGGATAGAAGATCAAACCAATCACATTTCCTTAAGCCAAAGTCTAGTCCAGAGCAAGATCCTACCTTTCTTTAAATCTATGAAGGCTGAGAGAGGTAGTTCCCTAAGAGAGAGGTCCCTGCTCTATCTCACCATCCCTTGTATCTTGTCATTTATTTTGCTGATATAGAAGCATATGAAAATAAGCATACATAAGCATCTACAGAGAATTATAAGTATTATTATTTCAAACAAACTTTCATGTTAGATTAAGTGGAAGAAAAACGTTTTTACTTTGCCTTCACTTATTTCTTCTCCAATGCTCTTCTTCCTTTATGTAGATCTGAATTTCTGACCTTTATTGTTTTCCTTTCCTCTTAAGAATTTCTTTTCACTTTTCTTGCAAGATAGGTCTTACTGGCAACACATTCCCTCAATTTTTGTTTGTCTGAGAAAGTCTTCATATTTCTTCTTCACTTTTGAGAGATAATTTTTTGGGGTATAGAATTCTATGGTGTCCATTTTTTCTCTCAACACTTTAAATATTTCACCCTGCTCTCTTCTTGCTTATGTGGTTTCTGAGCAAAAGTCAGATATAGTTCTTATCTTTGTTGCTATCTTTTTCCTCTGGCTTCTTTCAGGATTAAAAAAAAACTTAGATTTCTGTAGTTTGAAAATGATATGCCATATTAATCAGGGTTTTCCAAAGTGACAGATTAAAATAAGATTTTATTTATATTTATTATAGATATTTATTATGGAAATTGACTTGCGATTCTGAAAGCCCACGAGTCTCAAAATCTGTTGTCTGCAAGCTGGAGAACCAGGAAAGCTGCTGGGATAGTTCAGTGTAAGCCCAAAGGCCTAAGAACCAGGTCAGCCCATAGTGTACCTCCTGGTCAGGTCTGAGGGCCTTGGGTTGGGGAAAGGATTGCTGGTGTAAGTCCTATGGTTTTAAGACCCCAGGACCAGGAGCCTTGATGTCTCAGGGCAAGAGAAGAGGGATATCTCAGATCAAGAAGAAAGAGTAATTCCCTCGACCTCTGCTTTTTTATTCCATTTAGGTCCTCAGAGGATTAGATGATACCTACCCACTTTAGTGAGGTGATCTTTGTTACCCAGTTTCCTGATTGAGATGCTAACTTCTTTCAGAAATACACTCATAGACACTCCAGAAACAGTATTTTATCAGCTATCAGAACATCCCTCAGCCCAGTCAAGTTTACATATAAATTAACCATCATATATACCTAGATGTAGGATTTTTTTTTTTTTTTGTATTTATCCCACTTGGTATTGTGTGTCTGATAATAGTTTGGGGGAAATTCTCAGTCATTATTGTTTCAAATAATTCTCCTGTTTCCTTCCCTCTTCTCCTTCTGAAATTCCTATTCCATGTATGTTGTAGCTTTTGTAGTTCCACAGTTCTTGGATCTGTTCTCTTTTTTTCAGTCTTTTTTTTTTTTTCTTTTCAGTTTGGTATTTTTCTATTAGGATATCTTCAAGCTAAGAGATTCTTATCTCAGATATGTCCAGTCTACCCATAAGCCCATACTTCACTTCTTTTAAAGTGTTTTTGATCTCTAGCATTTCTTTTTGGTTCTGAGAATTTCCATCTCTGTGCATTTGTTTTTATGTGCCATCTACTTTATCCATTAAAGCATTTAGTATCTTAATCATAATGTTTTAAATTCCTGGTCTAATAATTTCAACATCTCCATCATATCTAAGTCTGGTTCTGAGGCTTGCCCTGTTTCTTCAAATTGTGTTTTCTGACTTTCAGTATGCCTTGTAATTTGTTCTTAATAACTGGACATGATGCAGTGGGTAAAAGGAACTGCTGTAAATAGGCCTTTAATAATGTGGTGGTAAGGAGTGGTAGGAGGAGAACTGTTCTCTGTAGCCCCGTGAATAGACCTCAGTCTTTTAGTGAGCTTATGCCCCTGAAGTGTGAACCCCACAACCGCTTCAAGGTTCTTCCCCCACTTAGGTGAAACAGGATGGCTATTGTGGGCAGGAATTGCGTATTTCCCCTCCTCCAGGTCATGTAGACTCTGATAAAACCCCAGCAAGTTAGGCTGCAATTAAATATTTGCTCCTGATTGACATAACTAAAAAAACAGTAATTTTTTCTAGTGATTCTAAGGCTGCTATTATTTTTGTCTATGACCAGATATATGATATAGAAAACTCATTTTCTATTAATAATTAACTGCCTCTTAGGCATTTCCCATCTGCAACCTGTCCGTGGTGTTAACTTTATTTACTGCCATGTAACGTGTCACTGCTCATCACCTTCCGCCTTGTTGAGTCCTGTGATTTGCAGGTTTTGAATATATGCATCAAGCAAAGTGGCTGATCTGGGCTACAAGAATGTGGGACTGAGGTAAAGTAGCTGGTTTTCTATTATCCAGATGGTAAGAGGAAAATTGGAGCCGTGGGAGGGAAGAAGATTGTGTGGGCTGACAATTGTGTTTCTTAATTCAGAAGTATCTGGGCTACAGGTAGTAGAAATATTATCTCTACCAATTGGTTCTCTGTTATCCTCAGTTTTCAGTATTGCAAATTAAATTATCCATCCAGTCATCATGATCAGTTTAATAGGAAGTTGGGAAAAGTCTTATCATAGATTTATTCAGGTGATGATATTTAAATCCAGAAGAAACATTTCTTCTTTGTTCCTTAAGCTTTCTAGGATGAGGTGGAGTAAAACCTTTTGCTTTTATTGACTAGTTTATTATTTCCAATTGATAATAATGAAAGCTATTATTTATTATCGTCCTTGTCAGAGTTTGAGCTATATTTTCATTTTTATTTAAACAACATTGGGCCAGGCACGGTGTCTCGTGCCTGTAATCCCAGAACTTTTGGAGGCCAAGGTGGGAGGATCACCTAAGGTTAGGAGTTCGAGACCAACTTGGTGTAACTCCGTCTCTACTAAAATACAAAAATTAGCCAGGTGTGGTGGCACATGCCTGTATTCCCAGCTACTGCGGAGGCTGAGGCAGGAGAATCACTTGAACCCAGGAGGTGGAGGTTGCAGTGAGCCAAGATCGCACCACTGCACTCCAGCTTGGGCAACAGAGTGAGATCTCTGTCTTAATTAAAAAAAAAAAAAACAAAAAACATTGAAAAGAGGGTCTTTGTTTCCTTATTTTTCAGGTAAGGAAGTGGAAGATTAAACGATTTGCCCAAAGTCTCACAGTAATTTGTAGAGCTGAGATTGAAATTCAGGTGAAACTTCACATATCATTTTCTTTTTATCAGGTATGTTGAGAATATGGTTTGGTTTGCTGAACACAGAAAGCAAGTAGTTATCTAGAATTATAGTCCTGTGGTGTAAAAGCTTTTATATTTTACTTTAATTATATATGACAATAATGGGCTTTTAATCTTCTTTTTGAGATGGCAGTTTCTGGATTTACTCTTGGTACCTGCATACTTCTGTTGCACATTAGTTATGTGGCTAATTATCCCAATGGAAAAGTAACACAGTCATGCCATGGAATGATTCCTGAACATGGTCATAGTCCACAGTCTGTTCCTGTTCATGACATTTCCGTGAGTCAGATGACATTCAGACCAGGAGATCAGATTGAAGGTACCGGGCTGGGATTAACTGTTTACATTTTGGATTTCACTCTTTTACTGTTTATTGAATCTTTATTATTATTTGATTTTGACTATTTCATTTAAATCTGTTTTCTTTTGTAAGATACTATCATACTTCTTATTTTTGGTTCCAGATGACTATATTACTTAAGTAGTCTGTGTATTCCCCATCCAGAACAGGCTTTAAAATAAGTTTTTATCATTATTTACTGTTTTTATTAATTGTGCTATTACTTCAAGAGAAGAGAAAAATAAAGTTTATTTTATCTTGTTTAAAATATATAAACCCTTGTCCTTCTTAACATCATATAATTTTAAGAATAATTCTCTAATTTCTCTGGTAAAATGTAGGCTGATTATTAAAGATAAATCTGTAACAGCATTTTGCAAACTTTATTTTTTGCAACTCTAGAAATGCAAAATGTTGATAGGTACTCTGTTACATAGAGAGTATATAGAAAAGTAAGTTTGTAATATTCTGTGTGATATATAATATGCCTTAGAGTTCACACTGTACAGTAGGATATTAAATACCCTAAGAAATTTACAGCAAAGAAACAAGTATTTACTTTCATCTAGTGTTTTTCTTTTTTTTTTTTAATTCAGTAAGAATTTATTGAGTGTCACTATGAGCCAGACACTGTATTAAATACTGGAATTCAAAAGAAAACACCTCATGTTTTTTCCTCTAATGAGGTCAAGTAAACATTTTTTTTTAAACTTTTATTTTGGGTTCAGGGGTACATGTGCAGGTCTGTTTACTGGTAAATTCCATGTCACGAGGGTTTGGTGTACAGATTATTTCATCACTCAGGTGATAAGCATAGTACCCAATAGGTATAAACTAACTTAGCCTTATGGACTGCCCCTGGACCATCACCTATTTTTCTTTTCTCTTTGCGGAATGGCTCACGGAGTGAACATCTTATGGAACACAGTTTAGAGCTTCTTTGCCTATAGGATGACTCTTTTCTCTCCAGGAGTAGTTTTGCATACATACACCTCATTCTAATTGTAATGTACGACCTCTAAACATTTTCTTTTTGATATTGCTAAGCTTTTTAACCAATCCTTTTGTCTTTTTCTCAGTTACTTTGTCAGGGCATCCATTTAAAGGCTTTCTCCTAGAAGCGCGTAATGCTGAGGATCTGAATGGCCCTCCTGTTGGCTCCTTCACGTTGATTGACAGTGAAGTGTCACAGCTTTTGACTTGTGAAGATATACAGGTTTGTGTTTAGAGTTGATCCTTGAACAATGTAGAGGTTACAGGTGCCGACCCCACCCCTGGGGAAATTGGAATTCTGTGTATAACTTTTGACTCCCCACAGACTTAACTACAAATAGCCTATTGTTGACCAGAAGCCTTACTGATAACAAATAGTTGGTTAACACGTATTTTGTATTTATATGTGTTATACGCTGTATTCTTACAATAAAGTAAGCTAGACAAGAGAAAAATGTTATTAAGAAAATAAGAGAAAATATATTTACTATTCATTAAATGGAAGTGGATCATCATAAAGGTTTTTATTCTCATTGCCTTCATATTGAATGGGCTGAAGAGGAGAAGGAAGAGGAGGGGCTGGTCTTGCTGTCTTGGGGTAGGTGGAGGAGGTGAAAGGGGAGGCAGGAGAGGCGCCACACTGGTGTAGCTTTATGGAAATACATTGTAATTTCTGTCTGACTTGTTTTTTCATTTTCTTAAAAATGTTTCTATATGGTACCAATTCTTCCCTGCTTTGCTTTAGTTTCAGTGCTATATCATAGGAGGGTCCATGTTGTAGAAGAAAGCAAAAGCAGTGTTGAATAATTTGAACCCTTCTGCCAGGTTGTCTAATGTCAGTTTGTTTTCTGGAACTGCTTCTTCTCCATAGTCCTCATTGTCATCTGGCACTGGTTTGGAAACACTTACCATCAAGTTGTCTTCTGTTAATTCTTCTGTTGTGGTGTCTATTAGCTCTTGAATTTCTCGAAGATTCATATCTTGAAACCCTCCATCCCCTACCTTTTTTGCCATATCCACAGTCCCTTTTATGATTCCTTGATTGGCTCTGTAAATCTTTTAAAGTCATGCACAAAATCTAGATACAGCATTTCTCCAGCAGGAATTTATTGTTTTGGGCTTGATGGCTCTCTTGGCTTTTTCTGTAACGATGATAGTGTCTTCAATGGTGTAATCCTTCCCGACTTTCATGATGTTCTATCAGCGTTCTCTTCCACAGCGTTGACAATCCTTTCCATTGAGTACTGTGTGTAAAGAGCCTTAAATGTCCTTAAGACTTCCTGAGCTAGAGACTGAGTTAGAGACATTGTATTTGGAGGTAAGGAGGCCACTTCAGTGGCTTCGGTGATGAGCTCATAGGGTTCTGGGTAGCAGAGGCATTGTCTAATATTGTATTAGGTTGTTTCTGTGTTGCCAAAAGAAGTGTCTAAGACCAGGTAATTTAATAAGGAATGAGACTTAATTGGCTCACTGTTCTGCAGGCTGTACAAGCATGGCACTGGCATCTGCTCAGCTTCTGGGGAGGCCTTAGGGAGGCCTCATGGCCTTTTACTCATGGCAGAAGCTGAAGTGGGAGCAGGCACTTCACATGGTGAAAGCAAGAGCAAGAGAGAGAGTTGGTGGAGGTGGAGGGGAGGTGCCACACCTTACAACAACCAAATCTTGCTCACTATCCTGAGGAACAGCACCAAGCCATTAGGAATCTGCTCTCCTGACCCAGACATCTCTCACCAGTTCCCACCTGCAACGTTGGGGATTGCAATTTAACATGAGAGTTGGGTGGGGACAAATATCCAAACTATATCAAATACCAATAGAACCTTTATTTATTTATTGATTTATTTAGAGGCAGAGTCTCACTCTGTCATCCAGGCTGGAGTGCAGTGGCACGATCTCAGCTCACCGCAGGCTTTGCCTTCTGGGTTCAAGTGATTCTCCTGCCTCAGCCTCCTGAGTAGCTGGGATTATAGGCACCCACCACCATGCATGGCTAATTTTTGTATTTTTGGTAGAAATGGGGTTTCATCATGTTGGCCAGGCTGGTCTTGGACTCCTGACCTCAAGTGATCCACCCACCTCAGCCTCCCAAAGCACTGGGATTACATACATGACCCACCATGCCCGGCCAAAAGAACCTTTAAAAGACAGTCTTTTAAGGCAAGGTGCTTCTTGTCTTCAGATGTAAAACGTCCATGGAGCCAATCCAGACAGAGGTTTCTTATTGTTCAGTATTTCTTATAGTTACAACCAGAACACTGGCAGCTGACGTTTATCTTTTCCCTTCAAGGCTCGGGGATTAGCAGCAAGCAGCTTTATAGGTAAGAGTAGTCCTGATCATAAACTGACTGCATTTGCACAAAACAGTAAAGATAGCTTGCTCTTTCTTGCCTTAAATTCTGGTGCTTGCTTCTCTTCTTTACTAATAAGTGCCCTTTGTGGCATTTATTTCCAAAATAGGGCACTTTTGTCTGCATTAAAAACCTGTTCAAGCAGATACACTTTCTCCTCAATGATTTTCTTTCTTTTTTTTTTTTCTTTCTTTTTTTTTTGTTTTTGTTTTTTGAGATGGAGTCTTGCTCTGTCACCCAGGCTGGAGTACAGTGGCACGATCTCAGCTCACTGCAAGCTCCACCTCCTGGGTTTACACCATTCTCCTGCCTCAGCCTCGAGTAGCTGGGACTACAGGTGCCCGCCACCACGCCTGGATAATTTTTTGTATTATTATTATTATTTTTGGATGGAGTTTCACTCTTGTTGCCCAGGCTGGAGTGCAATGGTGGGATCTTGGCTCACCGCAACCTCCGCTTACTGGGTTCAAGCGATTCTCCTGCCTCAGCCTCCTGAGTAGCTCGGATTACAGGCATGTGCCACCACGCCTGGCTAATTTTGTATTTTTAGTAGAGACGGGGTTTCTCCATGTTGATCAGGCTGGTCTTGAACTCCTGACCTCAGGTGATCCTCCCACTCGGTCTCCCAAAGTGCTGGGATTATAGGCATGAGCCACTGTGCCCGGCCTTTTGTATTTTTAGTAGAGACAGGGTTTCACCGTGTTAGCCAGGATGGTATCATCAATGGTTTTCTTAATGATGCCTGGGAACTTGCCTGCTGCCTCTTGGTCAATAGAAGCTGCTTCTCTTGTTATCTTGACATTTTAAAAGCCAAACTTTTTTTCTAAAATTATCAAACTATGCTTTGCTGGCATTAAATTCTCCAGCTTTAGACCCTTCACCTTCCTTTTGCTTTAAGTTGTCATATAATGACTTTGCTTTTTCTTGAATAATATTAGTCTATAAGTATCCCCTTCTTATAGCAATTCTTACACCTGCATAAAAGCTGCATTTCCGATATGAGATGAAAAGGTCTTTCACAAAAAGTGTGAGGTTTTTGCATCTGTTGGCATAGCTGCAGTGACAGCTTCACGAATTTTCTTTTCTTTTTTTTTTTTTTTTTTTTTTTACAGTGATTCTTATACTGGATTCATTTATCTTGATATGGCAGGCAACTGCAGCAGCAGACCTTAATCTACAGTATATATCAAGCAATTCAGCTTTTTCTTGTAATGTCACAAGTTTTCTGTGCTTCTTGGGAACACTTACCGCATCACTAGTGGCACTTCATATAGGTCCCATGGTGTTATTCAAGGTTTATAGTAGTGCACAAAACACAATAAAAGCTGGGTGCAGTGGCTCATACCTCTAATCCCAGCACTTTGGGAGGCTGAGGCTGGTGGATTGCTTGAGCTCAGGAGTTTGAGACCAGATTAGGAAACATGACGAAACCCCATCTCTATAAAAAAATACAAAAATTAGCTGGGCAAGGTGGCATGTGCTTGTAGTCCCAACTACCGTAATTTTATGCAGTTATGATTTAATACTGCAGTTTTACATTTGTTTGTATGTCTCTGGACTATGAATGGCACATGTGCGGTCTGTTTGTGTATGTATGTTTTGATAAATTTTAACTTTTTGTAATAGGTGTGTGTATATTTTATGGTAGTAAATGATAAAATAGACTAATACCTACATATTTTGTGCATTCAAGGCATACCTAACTTTTTAATTTTTTCAATATTTCTAGCCTATGCGGTTTGACTGAGTTTTTTCAAATTGTTAAAAACCTCCAAACATTTTTCTAATATATTTATTGAAAAAAAAATCTGCATATAAGTGGACCTATGCAGTTCAAACCTGTGTTGTTCAAGGGTCAACTGTAGCTTGAAATTGTTCTCTGTCAGTTTTTTGGGGGGTCTTTGCACTATAAGGTGGTGGTTGCAAGATAAATGACATTAACCATGTATTGTAAACATCTAAATAGATTCACAACGATCAGACTTTTTCCTTAATTTTACTTGCAATATGTTTTTACACATCAGCACTCCATAAAAGGTAAAGTAGTTTGAAGAATTTATAGCTTGTGATGTTTTATATTAATATTGGCTCTATTATATTAATTTTTGAAGGGTTTTAATATTGAAGACAGAGATCTAGAGTATGACAGGAGTCTAATTTTTTTCATTCATTCGTTCATTTATTTATTATACCAAAAATGGTCCTGAATGGGAGGGATAGGTGATGGACAAGACTTACTCTTGTTCCTTGAAGAACTCCTTACCTTACGTATAAGCACATCTATGAACATATAAGTAGAACTGTGTGATAACTTTGGTTAGAAGCATACGCAGCGAGTGGGAAGCATAGCAGAGGGAGCCACACACAGGCTGGAAGGAACTGGGAGGGAGCTTCTTGGAGCAGGTGATCTTCAAGTGAGGCCTCAAAGAATGAGTAGGAGTTGGCCAGGTGCATGAAAGTGAGAAACAAGATTGTTCAAGAGAAAGAATTACTAAAATATCATGCTACGTATTTGAAGGCAGGAAGTTTTTCTCTTTCAATGAATCTTCTGTATTCTATTTGCGTCTATTAATGGAAGAGATATAAATTTATAATGTACATGAAACAGTGAGCAAGCTCTATCTAGTGTTAACGTACCCAGTGTTCACAACTCTCTTCAGTTCTTAGATTTCTGTTGACTCTCATTTATTCACAGAGCCAACTGCTAATATATTGTCAACTAATCAACATTTCATTTATGGAGTGCCTGAATCCTTCTTTTTTTTTTGAGACGGAGTCTCGCTTTGTCATCCAGGCTGGAGTGCAGTGGTGCGATCTCTGCTCACTGCAAGCTCTGCCTCCCGGGTTCACACCATTCTCCCGCCTTAGCCTCCCAAGTAGCTGGGACTACAAGCACCCACCACCATGCCTGGCTAATTTTTTGTATTTTTAGTAGAGATGGGGTTTCATTGTGTTAGCCAGGATGGTCTCGATCTACTGACCTCGTGATCCGCCCGCCTCAGCCTCCTAAAGTGCTGGGATTACAGGGGTGAGCCACCGCACCCGGCCAAGGCCTTCTTCTAAATAAAATAGTCCTCACCAGAATGCTTATGTCATGCAACGATAAATTACTTTGCAAAATGATAGAAGTTCCAGCCATGCTGAGCTATAGAGTGACTGAATGGTAGCTCTTTTCCCTTTTATTTCAGGGATCAGCTGTGAGTCACAGAAGTGCATCTAAAAAAACAGAAGTTAAAGTCTACTGGAATGCTCCAAGCAGTGCTCCAAATCACACACAGTTTCTGTGAGTATAAGAGTTTATAATTCTGGGCAAGTCATGGTGGCTTCTGCCTATAATCCCAGCACTTTGGGAGGCCAAGGCAGTGGATCACTTGAGCCCAGGGCTTTGAGACTGGCCTGGGCAACGTGGTGAAACCCCATCTCTTAAAAAAAAAAAAAAAAAAAAAGAGTTTACAACTCTGTAACTGTTAGTATAACTGAAACCATAATTAGTATGTATCATTTTCTGTACCTATTGGACATTCCCCCATGTAGGAGAGCTTTGGTATAGTAATAACATCACCTTCCTGATGTAGGAGTTTGTTTTACTTTTTACCAGTGTATACCTAGCACCTAGCACAGGACCTGGCACCAAATAGGCACTTAATAGACATTTGTTGAGTGAATGAAATCTTGCAAGGCCTTAATCCTAACAAGAACTATCAATTAATACTTGAGTCTTTATGTTATATAACACTACTTTTAGACTTGCTCCTGTATTAGCATGAGAATACAAATGGAAGTCCTGAAATTTGGATGACTCTTTTGCAGTGTTACAACTTGCAGATTAGACTCTCAGAAAAGGCTGCGTGCCTCTCAGAGTTATGAAACTCAGTAGAATTAAAACAGTACTTCTTCCTTATCCTACATACAAGGGGAAATGGAATGTTATAATGCCTTGTAATGATTCCTGAGTGGTGATATGGACATATATTTTAAGGGAAGGATTGCTATCCTGACATATCTGTTTTCTTCACTTTGTGCATAGGTCCCCAACACACAGTAGCACAACTGTGCCCCAGTATGTTAGGTGGAATGTGAAAAAGGGGATGTGACCCCAGTGAAAGCTGATGGTTACCGATGCAGCCTCTATTACAGCTTCTTGCTATAGTTGCTTGCCACACATGCCCTTTGGAAGAATTGAATACTGCACTCTGAAATGAGTAGTAATATGTTCTTCATATGCCAGGAAATAGAAATCTGTGCAGTTTTGTCCCTGGGTCTGACATCACGGCTATTGGAATATGCCCCCAAAACAGACAAGTAAGAAAAGAGGGACAGAGGGAGAGAAAGCAATACAAATTTATCAAGTGATGGGGTGGGAAAGAGTGGTTAGAGATTTGCCTCAGACAAAATTAATAGTCCTGGTAGGTAGTAAGTCATGTTTTTCTAGTTTAGTCTCTCTTTTTTTTCCCTTTAATGTTTTGATCTGATTGTGACAGGACACAATGAGGGTTCTAATCTCACTGGTATTGCATTTCAGAGTCACAGTTGTTGAGAAGTACAAAATCTACTGGGTGAAGATTCCTGGTCCTATAATTTCACAACCAAATGCATTTCCTTTCACAACACCTAAAGCTACAATAGTACCTTTGCCAACATTACCTCCAGCTTCCCACTTAACCAAACCAGTAAGTAACAATTTTATTTTCTCTGTAGAGATGGGGTTTCACCATGTTGCCCAGGCCGGTCTCGAACTCCTGAACTCAAGCGATGCTCCTACCTTGGAGTCACAAAGTGTTTAGGATTACAGGTGTGAGCCACTGTGCCCAGCTTAAGTAACATTTTTATAGCTTCATTAAATGCAATCTAAATAATATGTAGCCAAATATAATATCCGTATGTTATAAAATACAGAAGAGAAGGTAAACAAAATAAGACATTACATAGGAGTAAAGTACTGTACTTAGTTTTCTCTATGTGAGCAAAGAGGTAAATTTGTGGTTGGAAATTGTGGTTCTGTGTACTTTGTGTGGTGAAGTGCGCAGAGAAGAAGCTATGCTGCATAGTGGTAGCATGTTTTTGGGTCCTCTGTAGGAATCTGAAGGAAGCCTTCATTGCAACCTTATGACTTATAGGTTAGAATGAAAGGAAAGCAAGACCCTGCATGTTCAAGGTGTGGTCATGACATTCACCTGTAGTCTCTACTGGTAGTGGATATGTTTTCATTTGAAAATAACTCTGATGAAGCAATAGTTTTTTTTTCTTTCTTTCTTTCTTTCTTTTTTTTCTTCTTTTAAACACAGCCAGATATCAAACAAAGAGCTTAAGTTAAATTTAGACAAGATTTGGAGGAGATTCTTAAAGTGGTGATATAACTCAGATCTCATTTCATTAAGGTCAAAGAGTCCTAGGGAACTGTATATGCTGAACAATAGAAAATCTCTTGTAAATTCATCAGTTATAATTTCATCTGGGCCCTCCGATTCGAAAGGTTTATGATTGACAAGAAATATCTTGGAAAGTGTTATGCGTATTAGAAACATTAGGAAGAAGGATTTTACTGCAGGAAATTCTGATAAGTTAGACTTCTTAATTCAGAAGTGGATACAACAAAAAACAAACAAACAAAAAAACGTGTTGAGGCAGGTTGTTTCAGCTGAAAGAACAAACGTGGGCCTAAATACTGACTTGCTTAATTTTTGTGTGTCTTTGGGCAAATTACTTAATTTTCAGTCTCAGTTTCCTCACCTAGAGAAAGAGACGTAATAATATTTAGTTCTTAATATCACTGTAAGAATTAAACAAAATAATGAATGCACGTTTTCTAGAACTGTGTCTTGCATTTAATAGATATTCGGTAAACATTAGTTCCTTTACTTTTTCCTTCTTTTTATTATCCTTTTGTACCTTTTTATTCGCATAGAGAAGACAAAGTAATGCACTATGCTCCTTATTTTATTTTTCTTCTCTTCAACATCTTATAGCATATGAGCACTATGTTTAATTACATTATTATGATTGTTGTACTTTTGTTTGACCATGCAATTAGATCTGTTATTTGTACTAGCTCTCAGTTTAGGCTTAATGCTTTATTTAATTAAAAGCTGCTTTAGGGAAATACACAGTCAGTTTGGACCTGAGCTTCCCAGTAGGAATCGGTTGACATTATTGTTATCTTTCCATATATTCAATAAAAAGCTCTTGTTGGAACATTTATTGTGTCTTTGTGCCATGTTTATAATCTCTAATTATAGGGAAGTTCATTCAGAGTCAAAGGATTATAGCATGTTTAGAGCTGGAAGATACCTTAGGGTCTATTTCTTATGTAGTTGAAGGTTCAGGGATCCTGAGGGAACAAGTCCTTTGGCAAACATGATGTAGGGAAGGGGAGAGCAGAGATCAAAGTCCAAGTTTCTTAGTCCCCAGTGGCTTGTTCTCTTCACCCTAGTATGATCTGGCTTTACATTTCCATGAACTCTAGTTATATAATGTTTAGATCTCTTCTGAGATTTACTGTCACAGCTCATTCGAACAAAGTCTGATTATACAGCTGTTTGTTTTTTTCTAAGACTCTTTATCTTATATTCCTTATCAAGAAGCTGTGGATTAAGTCATCTGATTGTTGCTAATTTCTCCCCCAATAAATCACTACGGTTATTTGGAATGCTGGTAAATTGGGGCAACCATTTTTTTCTTATATAATTTTAGTATGAAATTTGAATCTGAATTCTAGAAGCAGAATCCACAATCTAAATATAATAACTTGCTAAGTTTTGTTTGTTACTTTTTAAAACTTCATCTCTGAGAATTAGAGGATACCCTTTAGGCAGGAATGTTAGTGTCATTTAAGTCTTAGGGACTGAAATATTACCTCAAAAATTTCTCAAACTTATCAGAAACTTTGCTCCAAAACATACTTAATGTGAAATGTTTTGTGTATTACAGGAGCTTTAATAGTCTTGAACAATTACAGTCCAACAAGTGTATGTTTTCCAAATTTTAATTAAAATTAATTAAGTTTAAAAGTTCATAACCTAACTACTGCTCCGATCATTTTTAATTTGGGATGTGTCTTTTGTTTCCATTTGAATGCTTATTATGGAAAGGTATTCTCATTAATTTGGGAGCTACCCGTACTTGAAGGTAGTTATTCTTCTGTCATTGCCAATGAACTGTTTGTTTGATAATTAAGATTTTTTTTCCTCTGTCATTTTTCTAGTTCAGTGCCTCAGATTGTGGGAACAAGAAGTTCTGTATTAGGAGTCCTTTGAACTGTGACCCAGAGAAGGAGGCTTCCTGTGTCTTCTTATCCTTCACAAGAGATGACCAATCGGTGATGGTTGAAATGAGTGGCCCCAGTAAAGGCTATTTATCCTTTGCATTGTCTCATGACCAATGGATGGTTGGTACCTCTCACTTACATAAGTGGTAACAAAAGGAGAATCACGGCTGGGCGCAGTGGCTCATGCCTGTAATCCCAGCACTTTGGGAGGCCGAGGAGGGTGGATTGCGAGGTCAGGAGTTCAAGACCAGCCTGGCCGAGATGGTGAAACCCCATCTCTACTAAAAATACAAAAATTAGCCAGGTGTCATGGCGGGTGCCTGTAATCCCAGCTGCTTGGGCAGCTGAGGCAGGAGAATCACTTGAACCTGGGAGGCAGAGGTTGCAGTGAGCCAAGATTGCGCCAGTGCACTCCAGCCTGGGTGACAGAGCGAGACTCCATCTCAAAAAAAAAAAAAAAAAAAAAAGAAAAATCCAAAAGAACCCCCCAAAAACCAAAAGGAGAATCACTGACGCTGTTTGTTCCAGGGTCAAATGGTCATACGTAAGGGTGGAATAAGAAAGGAGAAACTAACTTAGAACAGATTCTAAGTTAAATAGCTTTGAGTACTGTGTGATTTTAAGTTTGACAATTACTTCCAAGAACAGGCTGTCCTAAGGAAAGTTAGGAAGATCATTTTGTTTCCAGTGTATTTGCTATTTTATATGTCTATCTCTTTGCGATAAAGCAGGAAATACAGTTAAGAAAAGTTTTTCTACGCAAAATGTCGTGTTTTTTGTAATGCTTTTCAAACCAGAATTATTTATTCATGTGGCCAGAACTAAAGCATGTGTTCCTGCTCTTGGTGTCCTATTTTAGTAGTCATCAGTGCATTTCCTAAACAGAGAATTAAACTTGTATATCCAGGCGGCATGTATTACAGTAGACTGCTTTGTCAAATCAGCAGAAGGCAGCATTTATTTTAAGCTGATTCTCACTCACCCTGGGTAGTGCTGAAATGGATTCAGTGATTCTGTAGGTGGCAGCCTTGTGCTGTGGTGTGGAAGAGCAGAGGCCCGCATAAGCACCTCAGTTTCCTAGGAAGCAGGAAGAGTATTGTGGCCAGGACACATATAAGTCCTGTTCAAGCAGAGTGGGCCTGGCGCATAGGGATGACCAGAAATGGAGAAAGCCCCTTATTAACACAGGCAAGGGGTCTTGTCCTGAGGGTTTTCTTCTTATCAGGATTTAAACTTGACACCACTTCTTTAGGGAATCATATTTCAGAAAAAGAAAAGGAACTCTGACATGGCTGTAATAGAAGAACTAATGCTTATCCTGAAAATACTCTTGATCACATTGGTCCTGGAGCAGTGTTTGCAAGTATTGTAGGACGCTGGATGTAACTAACTTTCTTTAATAGGATACCATTTCAGTATGTATGTATGACCTACATATTTCGCTAGACACCTCTAGAATGCACTTGCCATCCTCTTTCATTCAACAAAAGATATACCTTAAGTCTATGAGATACAAAAGATATCATGTACTTAAAAAAAATAACATAAGAAATAATGAATCCTTCCCTTTCCAAGTTGCTTGTATAGGGAATTTTATACTTGCTCAGCTGATGTGGTGATTGTTCAAAACATTTTCCCCACTTCCTTTTGTGATTGCCATCAGACCTGTAGCATGTTCTTTTGGATATTCTTAGTGTTGGTAAAAATGAACTACATTTAGTATAAGGTGAATGAGGTTGAGGTTGAGTTAAAAATAAAATGTGACTATAAAGCAATAATGATAGGTGGTGGTAGTGCTGCTGTCATGTGAATGTGATAAAATTGGCTAGAAAGGAAATTCTGAAAATGAGTCCAAAAAGGATTAACTTTTTGAATGAATGTATATTTTAATTAAGGTTCATCTCTGAGTTACAGCACTCATTTAGATATATGCTCTAGTCACTTAAAACAAAAACAAAAACAAAAACCAAACACCCAACTTATTCCAGTCACTTTATAGCCAAAATTCATGCCATAGTGTATGGATACATTTCCTTTTACTGGTTACATAAAACCTGTAAGCAAGAGGGAAAGACTATTACTGCATTCAGTATGGTAATGAGTAGCCCACAGGTAGGTCAGTTATTCTGTTCTAGATTGTAGGCATTGATGGCACAAAAGCATTTATCTCTAATTCAAGATATATTTATCTTACTTAGAAATCTTATCTGTTTCCAGTATAGTACTCATCAAAAATGTTTACAAAAAAGACTTAATTATGCAGGTGCAGTTGATTTACAGAGCAATCCTGTTTAATGATTAAAATAATCTGTACACCTGTTTGCCTAACTTGGGGGAAATGAATCATCCTCAAAATATATTTTTTAAGTGGTTATTTCTATTTTTGGTTATACTTTTGAAACTTTCGGGTATTTTTGTGACCTGCTATTCCTTTGGAGTGTATAATGTAAATTTAAATACTGAAGGTATCTGATGTCACGAATACTCATTCGATAACCCAAATTATACCCGTTTTCAATTTGGCTTGTAAATTAATGTTAGCAATTATTTTGGTATGGTAGACCTCATCACTAAAATCAAAATGTGTAATTTACCCTATTTCTGATAATAATGACTTGCTAATGTGTGAATTTTAACCGAATTTCCAAGTACAATAAGTCCTTACTTAATGTCGTCAATAGGTTCTTGGAGCCTCTGACTTTAAGTGAGGCTACATACAGCAGTCCCTTGAATAATATCATTTCCTTCAATATCGTTTTGTTATGACACTGATGAGGAAAAAAATATTGGCCATGTTGTATGTTGTTTTGCTTAAAGTCACAGTTTTCAAGAACTTGCCTATGACTTTAATTGAAGATGTACTGTACATGCCTCTTTCTTATTTGAGTTATTTTGTTAAATAATGTAAAGTCTATCAAGTATGCACATTATTAGCTTCCTTCCTTCTCCTTCCACTGTGCTTTATCATCTTACTCCATACGTGATCTCTCCATGCCCCAATTCCAGGATGTCCCCAATCCTGAACTCCCTTGGACTCCAGACTTTGATTTCCAGCTGCAGGCTTGTCTCATCCAGATGTGTGTTCCTGGACAGCACAAAGCAGCATCTAAAAGACTGAACTTTTTATTATGCCTCCTGATGTCTCCTTGTCTTCCCCATTCTTGGTGATCAGCAATGTCAGGAAAGCAGCTACCATTGTTGATGGCTTGCTTCTTGTTGGGTGCTGTCCTAGGCAGTTTATAAACACCTCATTTACTGCTGCCAGCATCTTCTCTGGTATTCAGAGAAATGTTGGTTGTGACTTGGATTCCTTCCTTTCATCCATCTCTCAGATCCTTCCTCCTGCCATTTCCAACTTTTTGTTTTGAAAAGTTTTAAACCTCAATAAAAGTTAAAAAGATAGTGCAATGAACACCCATAAACCCTTCACCTAGATTTGCCACTTTGTCTCTCATTTCCATCTATCTCAGTTGATTTATGTGGTGTATATAAATACACATTTTTGTCTTGAATTATTTGAAAGTAAATTATAGATAATAATGACATTTCATCTCTAAGGTTTCCAACATGTGTCCCCTAAGAACATGGGCATTCTACAATTACTGCAATATTTTTATCACATTAAGAAAATTTAATAACGATATAATAATTTTATGTAACATACAATCTGTATTCCAATTTTCCCGGTTGTCCCAATAAAGTCCTTTGTTTTTTAAAAATATTTCTTATTCAGGATCCAATCAGTTATTACTCAGGGCATTTAGTTGTTATATCTCTTGGATCTCCTTTACTTCAGAACAGTTATTTTATCCTTTTTCCTTTTTATAAATTAAATTCAGGCCAGTTATTTGTAGAATATTCTACAATTTGTATAATAGATTTGTGTTAAGACTTTTTGGCACAAATGCTACATAAGGGATATTATTTCCATATCAGTGCATTATTTTCAAAGTTTCATAATGTCCAGTTGTTCTATTATTGATGATACTATGTTTGATCACTGGTGTCTGTCAGATTTCTGTACCATGCAGTCTATTTTCTTTTTGTACTAAGTAATATGTGGGATGATACTTTGAGTCTGTATGAATATTCTGTTCCCTAATAGCCTGTAACTAGGTTTTTGCATTTATTGATGTTTCTTGTATGAATCAGTTGTTACATTTGTGGTTGCAAAATGTTGATCTTCTAACTTACTTATTAGCTGACATTTTTATGAAAATACGAGTTTTTTTTTTCCTCTGCACTTACCCTTCCCTTTTATAGTAACACTGTGGACTAATGGATTTCTTTTGTCCATTGTGTTGTAGTTTTTTACCACCATTCATTCTTTTAGAGGGTCATATTGACCCAAATGTGGCCGATGGGAGCCCTTTCAAGCAGGCTTCTGTGCCCTTTTGATGTGTCTCTACCACTTTTGAGCGTATCTTTGTTTTTGGTGTAACAAAATGTTCTCCCTTCATACTTTCATGCATTTCATCATTTCTCAAAAGGACTTTATTTCCTTTTAGTAGGAATAGTATCTAGAAATCAAGATTTGGGTGCTAATATGTTCACTGCAACTGATCTCCCAGGTACTTCTGATTCTATCTTTGACATACCTCTTTCATTCTCTTTATTGCATTGTCACTATCTCTGACTTGGCTTGTAGCTTTACTGTCTGCTTCCTGAACTGCTCTAGTAACCAGTCATTAGTCCCCTTGCTTCCATGATTTCCTCTTCCATTTCATCCTTCATACAGCCATTGGAATTTTCTCCCCAAGCCACATTTAAGATCGTCTTGGCTGGGTGTGGCAGCTCATGCCTATAATCCCAGCACTTTGGGAGACTGTGGTGGGAGGATTGCTTGAGCCCAGGAATTCAAGATGAGCCTGGGCAACATGGCAAGACCCTCATCTCTACAAAAAATTCATCAAAAATTAGCTGGGCGTGGTGGCATGCACCTGTGGTCCCAGACACTTGGGAGGTTGAGGTGGGAGGATCACTTGATCCCAGGAGGTCAAAGCTGCAGTAAGCTGTATTTGCACCACTGCATTCCAGCCTAGGTGACAGAGCAAGATCCTGTCTCCAAAAAAAAAAAAAAAAAAAAAAAAATTGTCTAAAAAATATCCCTCAAAACCTTTGGCAAAACTTCAGTAATTATAGAAAAACTGTCCTTTTTCTTAAAGCATGGTGCTCAGTACTTTGGGAATACTTCTGGAATTTTCAGCCTTAGAGCTTTCTTTTTATCCTTTACGTATTTTAGCTAGCAAAACTAGCTGTTTCTTAAAATTTTCATATTTCTATATCATTGGTCCTAGTTCTTCAACTTGGAAAACCTTTCCTTTAATCTCATCTTTACCTTGTCCTCCTATAAATATGTTTTATCTTCTAAGGTCTGCTTAATTACTCTCTTTTCTGGTAAGCCATTTTCAATTCTCTGGCCATACATAATTTGTCTTTTTGTGTCACTTTATCTATCTATGTGCCTCATTAAAACATAGCTTTAGGTTGTAAGAGCCATATTCTTATAACAAAGTCATCTTTGTTTCTCCTACAGTGTCCAGCATAATGTTTTCTCATAGGATGCTCTCTAAATGCTTGGCTTGAGAGGGGAAACTGGGGAGAGCTTCAGTAAAACCCGGGGATTTGGTGGAAGTTCTTATATGGTGTACTTTTATGCTTTCAAACTTGAGGTTTCTAGAACTGCCTGGAGCCTGAGGTTGCAGTAGCACCTTCACTTACTCTTCATTTGGAATAGTGAGGACTGAGAGTTACCTGCTCTCTATCCCCATCATCTTCTCCATTATTTGGGAGGTCTGCTTGTATTGATTTTATTTGCTTTCTTATCCTCAGTTTGCCTCAAAGCAATCATTATTTGTGTTAATTTTTTTTATGTAACAAAAGAATTTCTATGTCTCATTCATGATATTCTAGAAAACATACATTGTTTAAATCAGGGTTCAAGCCCAGCATGGTGGCTCACACCTGTAATCTCATCACTTTGGGCAGCTGAGGCAGGAGGATTGCTTAAGCCCAAGTTTTCAAGACCAGCCTGGGCAACAGGGTGAGAATCCATCTCTACTTTTTTAAAAAATAAAAAATAAATCAGGGTTCAGAAAACGTTTTCTATAAGGACCAGATAGTAACTATTTTAGAGTTTGTGGGCAATATGGTCTCTGTTGTAGCTACTAAACTCTGTTGTAGTATAAAAGCAGCCATAGATGATATGTATGTGAATAAATGTGACTGTGTTCCAATGAAACACGAACATTGAATTTCAGTTTGATATATTTTCATTTGTCATGAAATATTCTTCTTTTCACCACTTAATTATGTAGAAGTCATTCTTAAACTATGAGCTGTATAGAAACAAGCTTTAGGTTGAATTTGATTTGCAGGCCATAGTTTGTTGACTCCTGGTTTAAGTCATGATTGCTCCAAATTTCTTATCTTGAATTGGGCTAATTCTGATTTTACTGTAATATGTGTAACAGTACATAATTACTTTGCTAAGAGTATATCCTTGAGAGTTTTCAAAAGTGGAACATTTTAAAATAAAGTTGAATCTTAAAGTATAGAAATATGTTAGAATCTAATATTGGAATTTATAGCAAGATTTGTTATAACCGGGTAGTCTTGGACCTTGTATAAGGAATTGGATGACTAACCCACATAAAGAACCTTGTTAGATAGTTTATGGAGAAACCAAGTGAAAGACCAAACCATGGACAATAACTTAAAATCAAGATTATTCCTTTGTACCATTGTTTAAATGTACTTTGAAGTTACAGTCTGCTTCTTTTTTTAGTATTCTTTTTCATTCTTTTTTCCCCTATTAATTGACAGTCTGCTTTTTGATTATCACTTTATTTTATTCTATTTTATTTCTATTTTTTGGAGACAAGGTCTCCCTCAGTTGCCCAGGCTGGTGTGCAGTGGCATGATCATGGCACTCTGCAGACTTGACCTTCTGGGCTCAAGTGATTCTCCTGCCTTAGCCTTCTGAGTAGCTGGGACCACAGGCATGCATCACCATGCTTGGCTGATTTTTAAAAAATTTTTTCTAGGACGAAGTCTCACCATATTGCCTAGGCTGATCTCTAACTCCTGGCTTCAAGAAATCCTCCTGCCTTGGCCTCCCAAAGTGCTTGAATTATGGGTGTGAGTCACTATGCCTGGCTTGATTATCACTTTAAAGAATAAGATCTAACTTTCAGAGTTAAGGATTCTTGGAGACTAAAGGCTAGGTAAGAGGTAGACTGACTAATTCCTCCTTGAGGACAGGTATTTTTACCTCAGTTATATAGCATGAAATCTATTGAATATGTACACTGTGTAGCAATATTTCTTTACAGTGTCTTCCATCTTAGAAGTTACCAAAAAATATCCAGTACAATGTGGTGTATTTGGTCATTAAAGTATGTAGGATATAGATATTTATAAATAAATATCTGGAATATTGGTTATGGTAAGTTAATTGAAAAAAGATAACAGAACTCTGTATTTTCCCATTTGGGAAGGAAAAAATAGGTATAATGCAAATAGGTTTGGATGAATATACATGAAAATATTAAAAGTGGTATTCGATTAGTGATGGATTTATGAACATATAAACATGTTATATATCTATCTTAATCTATTATTTTACACTGAAATTCTATTGCTTTTGTATTATAACAAAATTATTTGCAACCCGCAAATTAGACAACCAGTTCTCTAGAATTCATAGCATAATTCACGATTCAGTAAATTATGTTTTAAAAGCATCAAATAATGCTTGGTTTCCTGAGGTACTTTTTTAAAAAAAGAAAATAAAATGCTGAAATTCCTTTGAACTTTTTTTTCTCATTTGCAATTATTTTTCAGGGTGATGATGATGCTTATCTGTGTATTCATGAAGATCAGACTGTGTACATCCAGCCTTCCCATTTAACGGGGCGAAGTCACCCTGTAATGGACTCCAGGGTAGGTGTGAAAATTCTGGAACCTCCACCTGAGACCTGCTTTCCGGCAGTGTGGCTATCACTGGTGTGGCTGTGCTGCTAGATCACCTCCAACCCCCACAGTTACTACACCCAGCCTGAGCAGGGGCCTGTCAGCAGGGCTCCTCTCATAATGATCTCTGAGAAACTTTTCTACACTTCAGAAGTTTCTCTTATAGGAAAACATGAATTCTTGCTTGTGTCACTTCCATCCTTTTGGTTGTTATCTTACAAAAAAGTACTTTATGGTTTATTAAGATGGTCAGGGCATTAGCTTCCTTTCAAAAGCTTATAGACAGGTTTCTAAGAAGAGGATGACATTAGTGACAAAATTTCTTGACTAGTGAGAAAGAGGAGCACATTTGGCGAAGGCTGGAGATGCCTTGGACAGTTGTCTTAAGTGCCCTTTGTTGGCATGGGTATTGAAGGTGGGCTATTTCTGGTAGAAAAGTGTCCTTTTTGCAGGACAGTTGACAAGCAAATGAACTCTGAAAGAGCAGTAGCTATCACTTAATGACAGAGCAAATGCGCTCTGACTGAGCAGTAGCTGTCACTCAATGACATAACTGTGCACAGCTTTCCCATGGGGCTGACTCCCATGGCTGGCTTGAACTTCTCCCCAGTTGCATGTTGCATTTTGGCCACTAGGGTAGTACTCGTTAACTGTTTTTTTCAGTGTTTTTGATTGTATACTCGTGGCCAGATGGAGTTAGTACATCTGCTAAAATTTCTAACCTAGGTAGAGGAATTGTGGGGTTCTGGCTCAAAGTAAAAATAATATATTTTCTTTTTGCCAAATGGGATAAAGACAAATAAACTGGGAGAAAATGTTTCTTGTTCTCTTCAAAGCGGAAGTGGAAAAACAATGACACTGCAGACAAAGCATGCACATATGATCTAGAGAAAGGAAACTGAACAGGGCAGGATTTTGATCATATCTTATTTTTAGCAAATCTTTGGAAAGTGCTGAGAAGACCCATTGTGTGTGTTTATAGGATACCCTTGAGGATATGGCTTGGAGGTTGGCGGATGGTGTTATGCAGTGTTCTTTCAGAAGAAACATTACCCTTCCTGGAGTTAAGAATAGATTTGATCTAAACACAAGCTATTACATATTTCTAGCAGATGGTGCAGCTAATGATGGTAAGTATATTGTCAAGCTGTCTTTTCAAGTATTTTCTTTTTCTCTCTTGTTCCCTCTCTTTCCCCCATTTTTGGAAAAACTACTGTAATTGCCCATTTTTAAGGCATACATTTTCCTATAAATGTCAAATTTTGCCAGAAACTGGATAAAGGAAGAAAAATTTTGCTGGAAACTAGAGATAGAGTGTCCACTGTGTTATAAGACAACATTGCTCATGATCAAAATGGCTTCTGATTAGTAAAATGCATGTGACCAGAAGAACTATAAATACCTAATAAGAAGCCATTTATTTGGGCTTCCCTGAGTGTAGTGATAGTAGATTAACATTGCAAGGGTCCTAGAAACAGTACTTTGGGGTTGTTGCAAGAGATATTGGCTCCTGTGGGGAAACTTGCCCAATATGAATCTCATGTCCTTAGACCTGAGCTTTCTCTAGGGAGGTGGGGAGGGGAAAGAGAATAGCTCCTGGACAGCTGAGTAAGCTGCTGTGAGACCTCCCATTGAGGGGAGAATGCCTCCCACTGCCCTGGGTGTGGTATGTTTCCTGTCTCACATCTTTCTACATGACTCTGATGCCAAGTACAGCCTAATGTAGTCTTATGAGTCTGAATCTTTATTCTCAAGAAGGCTACCCTGGTGGATATTGCAACACATATTAATAGGAATAATTCGATTTTGTTTGAGGTCTTGGCTAATGGTTTTTGAGGAACTGCAGGAAACGTCAATGTAGTATTTAATGACTCATCTCTTAGGAGATAACACTGTGCCAGAACTTTGAGAATACAGCCCACTTTGAAAATGGTGAGAAGGTAGATGTCTACAGTAAAGAGACAGGGATGGGGTAAAGGAAAGGAAGAATAGGAAATGTGATACAGGCAAATTGTGAAAAAGTCTACAATTCTATCATGTGTTTAAGACTTTTTAATCTTGGTAAAGCCGACTCCCAAAAAGTTTTGAAGCAGGATAAAATATCTGTTCAATGTTAAAATTTAGGAACATTTAAATTAATTAACTTGTTTGTTTTTATTTATTTTTTTAGCTGAAGGAAGAATGCTAAAGGAACATTTTTAGATTTAGATATAGGCGACACATGTAGTTATCTTAGTCAAATCATTTACTCTTGTTTGTACTAGCAACGCCAAATAGGGCTTGAAAATAATTTCTTAATATGACTTGATAATGAGCAAAAATTTCTTAATGTGAGTAATAATTTCTTAATATGGCTTGATAATAATGAGTAAAAATTACTCAGTGCTTACTGAATGCGAGTCAGTGGCTAAGCATTTTAGATAGATTCTTCATTTTTATCTTCATAAAGTACAAGCTAGAAATGTACTATTATTATTTGGAGGAGGAAATTCGGACTTAGAAAGGTGAAGTAATTTGCCCAGACAAGTAAATGATGCAGTTGGAATTTGGCCTTTAGAGCCTATGTATTCAGTACTTTAGAATGTGGGAAATGGACTGGGTGCAGTGGCTCATGCCTATAATCGCAGCATTTTGGAAGATCAAGACAGGTGGATTGCTTGAGCCCAGGAGTTCCAGACCAGCCTAGGCAACATGGCAAAACCTGGTCTCTATTAAAAAAAAAGAAAAAATTAGCTGGGTGTGGTAGTGTGCACCTGTGGTCCCAGCTACTTGGGAGGTTGAGGTGGAAGGATTGCCTGAGCCCAGGAGGTAGAGGCTGCAGTGAGCTATGATTGCACCACTGCATTCCAGCCTGGGCAACTGAGGGAGACCCTGTCTCAAAAATAAAAAGAACATGGGAAATGTAGGGAATTAATTTTCAATAAGGAAAAGGTCAAGTATTTGTGTTTTTAAATAGCTACTACTAAAGTGCAGGTCATTGCATTGTTATGATTGCAGCCATCACTTGTTGCATATTACATGTATCTCTCTTATTTCTCACAGAGGCTTTGTATGTAGGTATTTTGTTGCTTTTTTTAGAGATAAGGAAACTGGGACCTAGTAGGGCCAAGCAACTTGTTCAAAATCAAACAAGTAGCAGAGTCAGAAATTAAACCCAGGTTACTTCCAATTATAAAAGTTGTATCCTTTCTATAATATCAGACTGCTTCTTTTGGTGTCTGTGTTAGTCCATTCTCACACTGCTGTAAAGAACTACCTGAGACTGGGTAACTTATGAAGAAAATAGATTTCACTGATTCACAGTTCCACAGCCTATACAGGAAGCATGGCTGGGGAGGCCTCAGGGAACTTACAATCATGGCAGAAGGCAAGGGAGAAGTAGCCACATCTTACATGGTGACAGGAGAGAGAGAGTATGAAGGTGGAAATGCCACATACTTTTAAACAATGAGATCTCCTGAGAACTCGTTCACTTTCACGAGAACAGCAAGGGGGAAGTGTTCCCCCATGGTTCAGTCACCTCCCACCAGGCCCTTCCTCCAACACATGGAGATTACAATTCAAAGTGAGATTTGGGAGGGGGCACAGAACCAAACCATATCAGCGCCCAACATGTGTAGATGCTTCATAAATGATTATTGATGCAAATGGATTTCTTAAATTGTTAGACGATTTAATGGTTTATACTTTTTAAAGTTTTATACTTAAAATATACTTTAGAGAAAAACTATTTCATTTAAATGGAGGAATTCTGTTGTATAATAAATTTTATATGTGTGGGCATACAGCAGGTGAAATGTTTTTTCGTAGGTTAGCAACGTAGAAATCAGAACATGTTTTCTTTTAAATGATAGTTCTAACACTCCCTCAGAAACACCGAGTTAATGGATGATCCGTGTGAAAGTAGAGAATTGTTCCCCCTCCCTTGCTGACTGATGTTGCTGTGCTGATGGCATGGGAGGGAGAATCTCTGCCTTGACTCCTCTGTGGTGTTTCTCCAAATGTGGGGCTTAATGTGCTTCAGAACCACCTGGAGTGACTGCTAGCAGTGCAGATTCCTGAACTCCATCTCAGACCCACTGAGTCTCTTTTGTTGGTGCATGGAATCTGCAGTTTAATAGGCATCCCAGGTGGTTTTATGTATGCTGTAGTTTGATAACTTACTGCTCTAGGATGGGGTTTTCCCAAGTAAGCTATGCACATTGCAAGGCAGGCCAGGGGATACAGGGAACAATACTAGAACTTTGTTTAGATTTACTTTTTGTCATTAAAATTTTAAATATTTTAATATATTTTATAGTGTACATCAGGGATCCCCAACTGATAGGCCATGGACTGGTACTGGTCTGTGACCTATTAGGAACTGGGCTGCACAGCAGGAGGTGAGCGGTGAGCAAGTGAGCATTACTGTCCTGTCAGATCAGCGGTGGCATTAGATTCTCATAGGAGCACGAACCCCATTGTGAACTGCACATGTGGGGGATCTAGGTTGTGTGCTCCTTATAAGAATCTAGTGCATTTTGATCTAAGGTGGAGCAGTTTCATCCCAAAACCATCCCTCCCCGTCTTCCATGGAAAAATTGTCTTCCTTGGAACTGGTCCCTGGTGGCAAAAAGGTTGGGGACTGCTGGTGTACATAAGATATTAATACATATTAATATCTTAATATGTATGAGATATAATAGATATTGATACAATATGTATTAGGTGTAATAGATATTAATACAATATGATACAATAAACATGAATCTGTTTATTAACAAAAATATACATATATTAGGAACACAAGCTAATTTTTTTTTTTACTGGTAGAGTACAAAGCACACAAAACAAAACACTCCAATAAACAAACCTGGAGATTGCTATCCCTGGGAATGAATTTTCCAATCTTTTTGTACTGGGGAACATATGACAGTTATCACATAAATCATTGCCTCTTCTATTACTTAGCTTTGGGCATATGGACCATTTATAAATTGAATTCTGCTTAAAAGCAGTAAGACTTTGTAAGGTTTAAGCCAATTTTCAAAGCAATCATATAATCTCTGTAACCCATATAAATGTAAAATGTATGCAATTTCAATAAAGTCTCCTAACAGTCTATCCATTTAAAACCTTTTTCTAACTGCTATTTTCTTCATGTTGCTGACATTGTCCTGTCTTGGGATAAGCAGTCATGTGAAATACTGAGTGTTTAAACTGAAAGATAGAAATCACTTGGGTAATTAAATAATTCACAACGAGGAAATCTACCAATTTTAATAATTAATGAAGTAGAGACACAGCTGTCACATGACCTGTTATTTAAAGAATTTAGGAATACTGTAGGTAACCTATTACTGCCGGTTCTTGCACTAAGCATGAACTCCCTTTGAGCAAGACTAGAAAATTATAATGGAGCCACACAATGGAATTCTGAAATCATAATGGACTTCTGCTTTCATGAAGGTTAAGTTCATGCTTAGTTCATGACTCTACAGTGATTCAGAGTTTAAACACATTTTCTTCCAACTTGTCTCTCAGGGTTGTTGGGCTTGGAGTCTCTTTTTCATCACTACCACTCAATGAATGCAGGATTTTTAGCTTCCCCGGTGCCTTTCTTGTCATTTTTGATAGTTTTCTTGATCATTTTCTTTTTGACACTTTTGTAGCTCCTGACAGTTATTGTCTTTTTCTTCTTGACATTCTCTTCTCTAGGCATTCATTACATAAAATTCTTCTTTCTCATTTTCTGCCTTATAACAAGCCATGGTAAAATAGTATTCACTGGAGGAGTAACCAGGTGTCCTAACACCATTTTTTGAATAGTCCACATTTTCTCACTGCTTTAAAAGCCTCTTTATCATACATTAAAAGTCTATCAATAAATTGAATTATTTCTAGTGTATCTGTTCTTCTATTGATATGTTTGTCTGTTTCTGCATTAGTTAGAATTGCTGTTGCTTTATAATAGGTTTGTGAGTTTTGATAGAACATAATACCCCTTCTGGCCTTCTTTTTCAAGAATTTTTGCTTCTTCATGTGTATCTGTTCTTCTAGATAAACTTTAGACCTAATTTGTCAAATTCTTCTTTTTTTTTGAGGCAGGATCTCACTCTGTTGCCCAGGCTGGAGTGCAGTGGTGCAATCATGGCTCGCTGAAACTTGACCTCCCAGGCTCAAGCCATCCTCCCACCTCTGCCTCCCTAGTAGCTGGGACTACAGCCATGTGCCACCATTCTCAGTTAATTTTTTATAGAGATGGGGTCTCGTTATGTTGCCCAGGCTGTTCTCCAACTCTCCGGCTCAAGCTGATTTGTCAAATTCTATTAAAAACCCTGTTGGGGTTGTGATTGAAATTGTAATGCAATTTTAGAGCAATTTAGAGAATAACTGTATGCAATAGTGAGCCTGCCTATGCAGGAACACACTGGGATATTCCATGTATTCCGAACCTGAATATGTGTCTTTCAATGAAATTTTATGGTTTTCTACATATCTTTTTTTTTTTTTTTTTTGAGACGGAGTCTCGCTCTGTCGCCCAGGCTAGAGTGCAGTGGCCGGATCCCAGCTCACTGCAAGCTCTGCCTCCCGGGTTTAAGCCATTCTCCTGCCTCAGCCTCCAGAGTAGCTGGGACTACAGGCACCCGCCACCTCGCCCGGCTAGTTTTTTTGTATTTTTTAATAGAGATGGGGTTTCACCGTGTTAGCCAGGATGGTCTCGATCTCCTGACCTCGTGATCCACCCGTCTCGGCCTCCCAAAGTGCTGGGATTACAGGCTTGAGCCACCGCGCCCGGCCGGTTTTCTACATATCTTCATAGGGCTTATATATATTTTTTTGGTTACTTTGTTCCTGTGTATTTTATAGTTCTCTAAGGCAAATTATTATGAATGGGATTGTTTTTAATACGTTTTGTAAATATATTGTCATATAGGAAAGTTATTTATTATTGAATATTTATCTTAAATTTAAGCCTAATTTTCCAGTTGATTATTTTGCATTTTTCTGGATAAATGTCGTATCCTGTGCAAATAATGACAGATTAATAGCCCTCATTTTCTTTCTTGTCTCATTGCATTGTTTAGTTCTTGCTGAATAATGTAGAATGGTAGCAATGAGGTGGCAAGAATTTTTGTGGTTATTGTTGATTTTGATGCAAATGCATCTGATATGCAGTGTTAAATGTCTTATTTGTTGTATTTTTCTTGTGGATATCCTTTATGGTGTTGAGGAAATATTCTTTTGTTTCTAACTTTACTACGAATTCATATGACTGTGTGCTGAATTTCATCAAATGTCTTTTGGGCAGTGATTGAGATGGTATTTTATCGTTACTTTAATAGATTTCTGGATGGCGAATGATCCTCACATTCCTGGAATAAACCTTACTTGGTCATGTTTTATTATTCTCTTAGTATATAACTGATTTGATTTACTAATATTTTCTTTAAGCTTTTTACATCTATATTCATAAGTGATTTTGGTTTATGTTGTGACTGCGTGAATGTGTGGGGTGCTTGTGTGAATGTACACATGTGTAGTTTTGATTTCAGGGTTATACTAGACTCATAGGGTAAACTCTAGAAGAGTTTAAATAAAAAGAATTTTTAACAGGCGAGGCACAGTGGCTTATGCTGTAATCCAAGCACTTTGAAAGACCGAGGTGGGCAGATCACTTGAGCCCAGGAGTTTGAGACCAGCCTGGGCAACATGATGAAACCCCATCTCCACAAAAAATACAAAAATTAGCTGGGCATGGTGGTGTGCGTTTATGGTCCCAGCTACTTCAGAAGTTGAGGTGGGAGGATCTCTGGAGCCTGGGAGGTCAAGGCTGCAATGAATTGTGATTACACCACTGCACTCCAGCCTGGAAAACAGAGTGAGACCCTGCCTCAAAAAAATAAATAAATAAATAAATAAATAAAATAAAAAAAACAAATTAGGGAAAAATTTTAATGGTGTGGTAGAACTCACCCATATAACAGTCTGGATGTTAGATGGAAATATTTGACTAAAAAGAATTTTTTGGCTGGGCGTGGTGGCTCACACCTGTAATCCCAGCACTTTGGGAGGCCGAGGCAGGTGGATCAGGAGGTCGGGAGTTCAAGACCAGTCTGGCCAAGATGGTGAAACCCCATCTCTACTAAAATCACAAAAATTAGCTGGGTGCAGTGGCAGGCTCCTGTAATCCCAGCTACTCGGGAGGCTGAGGCAGAAGAATCGCTTGAACCCGGGCAGCAGAGGTTGCAGTGAGCCAAAATCGTGCCATTGCACTCCAGCCTGGGCGACAGAGTGAGACTCCATCTTGAAAAAAAAAAAAAGAATTTTTTTATTGTTATTACTCTCCATGGTTACTACTACTTTGGTCAGTTTTTGTAATTCTATATTTCTCCCCCCAAAGTCACCCATTTTGTTTAGATTTTGAGATTTTTGGGGGCTGATTTAAAGTTGTATACAGTGTTTTTATATAAAATTGTTTTCTATATTAGCAGCTATGTCACCTTTTAAATTTCCTTTTTTTTTTTTTAATTGAGACGGAGTCTTGCTCTGTCTCCCAGGCTAGAGTGCAGTGGTGGGATCTCCGCTCACTGCAACCAACCTCGGCCTCACAGGTTCAAGCGATTCTCCTGCTTCAGCCTTCTGAGTAGCTGGGATTACAGGTTACAGGTGCCTGCCACCGCACCCGGCTAATTTTTGCAGTTTTAGCAGAGATGAAGTTTCACCATCTTGGCCAGGCTGGTCTTGAACTTCTGACCTCGTGATCCACCCGCCTCGGCCTCCCAAAGTGCTGGAATTACAGGCGTGAGCCACCACACTCAGCCATCCTTTAAATTTCTAACATTATGATGTTTCCTTTCATTGTGTATCAGAGTTGCCAAAAACTCAATGGATTTTAATTATCCTTTTAGAGGTTTGACTTTTCTGATTTTTGGCGTTACTAGCTTAAGTTCTACCTTTGTTTTTAATTGATCTTTTTTTTCTGGTTTCCCAGGTTATATTTTGTTACTTTAAATGCACCTTGAATGAAATTATTTCTGTCTGTGTGTGTGAGGAAATGCTTTTAAGATGATAAAAACATTTTTTGAATAGTACCTTGTTTGCATCACACATGTTTTGTTATGAAGTGTCTTTATTGTTATACATCTTGATTGAAGACATGTGGTTTTAGTTTTAATTTCTTATTTAATCCAAAGGTTATTAGAAAGAGTAGTTTTATAAATATCTAGGTGGACCATTTTCCCCCTAACTTTTCAATGTTAATTTTTAGTTTTGTTGCATTTTGGGCAGATAATATAACCTGTATCCTTTTATTTCCTTTTGGAAATTATTAAGATGTAGTTTGTGGTCTAATATTTATCATTTGTTTTAGACAAAGTTTCATATATTTATATTTGTTATATTAAATGTCTTATTTTTGATGCAGCACAGTATTCTAAAAATATGTATGTTCCAGAATTTATTTACTCATTCCCCTAATGATGGCTATTTAGTTTAGTTTTTTTTTTTTTTTTTTTGCCAGCATGGAAAACATTGATATAAACTTTCCTTACATATATCTTTGCTAAGATAGATTCCTAGAAAGAACACACACAGATCCACACACATTTGGAATAATTCTATACATTCACTTATTTAATTTTGTACACAATAAATGGTAATATTAAAATAATATATCCTCAATTTGCTTATGTCACTACTATTTGGAATTTTAGTTTGTTAGTTCGAATTGACCATGTGTGAAATAATATATCATAAAATGCTTTTCTTTGTCTTCCAACCATCCTCTTTCCCCCAGCCCAATTTCAGTTAGTTTATTCTAGGATTTTATATGCAGGTGGTGGTCAATGGCTTGTAGATTTTTAAAAAATATGTATTCTCTTTCAATATTTTTAAAAACATTTTTCAATGGTTTGTGACCATATTAACAATGTTTATTTTAATTTATTATTTAACTTGTCTCTTTATATCACCAATTCTTTTACTATACATTCTCCATTCCTAGTTCTCATTTTAATTCATCTCTAGGTTGGCTACATTCTTTAACTTTTTTCAGGAAGGCTGTGTGCCCTTGCATATACCTTTATGTTGCTTTTGCGTATGAATGACATCTCTGTTGATATTTAATTATTTTTTATTACCTTAAGAAATTTTGTTGCCATGCCCTGCCCTTATCTCAATTCCTTTTTTTATCTGAGGCAGTAATTATTCTTTGTCAGGTTTAATTTTGTTTCTAATTTGCAGGTCGAATTTATAGGCACTCTCAGCAGCCTTTGATTACCTATGAAAAATATGATGTGACAGACTCTCCGAAGAACGTAGGAGGATCCCATTCTGTACTCCTTCTGAAGGTTCATGGTAGGTTCCATGTGTAACTACTTTGTGGAATCAACTTACCTGCGGACTCAGTGCTGGCTGGATTAGGCATGGTTGTGGATATAATGTAGCTAATTTTTATAAAGCTTTTTTTTAATTTTTTTGAGATGGAGTCTTGCTCTGTCACCAGGCTGGAGTGCAGTGGCGTGATCTTGGCTCACTGCAACCTCTGCCTCCCAGGTTCAAGAGATTGCCCTGCTTCAGCCTCCGGAGTAGATGGGACTACAGGCGTGCACCACCATGCCTAGCTATTTTGTGTAGTTTTAGTAGAGATGGGGTTTCACCATGTTGGCCAGGATGGTTTCGATCTCCTGACCTCGTGATCTGCCCACCTCGGCCTCTCAAAGTGCTGGGATTATAGGCGTGACCCACCACGCCTGGCCTATAAAACTTTTATGTTTAAACAGTAACACTTGCAGGCAGCAGCATCTTTTTTTTTTTTTTTTTTTTTTTGACACAGCTGTTGGTAAGCATCATCTATCTTAGTGTTTACTAATTTTCATTAAAAATGGAGAGTAGGGCTAATTCAGTGGTTTTAACCTTGGCTACACGCTAAAATCACCAGTGGAGCTTTTAAGACATCTATAATTTTGAAAAACTATCCTAGTTGTTTCTAACTGCAGCCAGGGTCAAGTGTTACTGGGTTAATATAACTTTTATGAGACCTAAATTTTTACCATTTATTAAAATAAATGCTAATAAAAGAATGGCCTGTGATTTAGATTGTTTAATTAGAACAGTAGTTTGGTTTCAGAGGTACAATTTTGTTGTTGCATTGATCAACGTACAAGTATTTCAGAGCATGCAAAGTACTTAGTGCTATACTTAGGCATCATATATAATACCTAAATGAGGAATAGAATGAAGTTGGAAGAACAGTAGCCTAAAAACAAGGCTCTAGGCCATGCACGGTGGTGGCTCATGCCTGTAATCCCAGCACTGTGGGCGGGTGTGGTGGGCGGATCACTTGAGGTCAGGAGTTCGAGACCAGCCTGGCCAACATGGCAAAACCCTGTCTCTACTAAAAACTTTGAAATCTCAGCAAAAATTAGCCAGGCATGGTGGTGCCCACCTGTAGTCCCAGCTACTTGGGAGGCTGAGGTAGGAGAATTTCTTGAACCCAGAAGGTGGAGGTTGCAGAGAGCTGAGTTTGCACCACTGCACTCCAGCCTGGGCAACAGAGTGAGACTCCATCCCCCAAAAAACAAAAAACAAAAAACAAAACACCCAAGACTTTTAATATGCTCTGGTTCTACAGATGAAAGTTGACTTCATTCGAAAACTAGCCTGGCTTATTGTTAAAAAAGATGGGATTTGAAAGTATGGGAATAGTGTAGTGTACACTAAACTACTGTAAACTCTTAGTGTTTTGGGGGAAACTTTCCTTATTTGGGATATTCCCTGTATATTTTCCAGAGTTATCCATTATAGTAAAGTTTTCCATAAATGCCATCACTGTTAAGCTTGAAAGTAACTTTATTGTTGTTGATTTGCTTCTACTCGTGTTGTAGCTCCAGTTTGGTTGTAATTGGATTCCGAAATAACATGCCTATTTGTTTCTCACTGCCTTTTGGAGTGAGATGTGAGAAGCTTTTGAAATAACTGCAGAGGCAGTTATTAGTATACTGGTTAAGAGCACAGTTGCTGAAATCAGATAGGGTTTGTATCCCAACTTTGTAACCTTGGAAGAGCTACTTAATTCTCTATGGCTTTGTTTCCCCATTCAGCAAAACTGGACTAATAGTTATAACTACATCATAGGATTGTTGTAAAGATCAACTAAATTAGTATATGTAAAGCATTTAGAATACTTAGCACATAATAGGAGCTATAGAAGTGTTTGCTGTTCAAAAGAGTAATGGTAGTAAAACTATGATGTATAGCATCATTTAGGTTGTACTTATGTCAGCTGAATGTATTTTGCTGACTGTTTATGTTTTCTGAGCATTTGGCTTCATCATTTAAGCAACAGCTTGATTAGTTTGTGATGGTCTACTATTACATTTATCTCACTTGTAGGTGCCTTAATGTTTGTGGCATGGATGACTACTGTTAGCATAGGTGTACTGGTTGCCCGGTTCTTCAAACCAGTTTGGTCAAAAGCTTTCTTCCTTGGTGAAGCAGCTTGGTTTCAGGTAGGTGAGGGAAAAAAGTTCGATGCAATTTTCATAGTATTTGAACACTGCAACATGAAAACATATGAAGTATGTGTGTATGTGTATGTGTTTTGTGGTTACAGATGTAGGTCTGGGATCTTCCTTTTTCCCTTTGGTTTCCTGATCAATTGAGAGTGGACACAAGGTGCTTGATAGAGACAAGAATACAGACAGTTTTAGGAAGAGTCAGGCTGGACTGGAGAATGTGTCAGGGCCATGTGAGTCCCTTTGTAATATAGACTTTGGGACCCAAATGACCTTTACTTATACCTCTGTTTGTAGAGGGATATGTTGGAGGAGCATTCACCCACTACACTGCACTGAGTAAAGTCAGGCCGAGGAATGCAGAGGAACTGAAGAAAGAAATAGTGGGAGCTTACTGTGTTTCAAAGCAAGGGTCACTCCTCTGGTTGTGGGCCATTGAATGTTGGTTATCTCTAACTCATCACTTGGGATCATCTATCTCCTATATGGGTGGGAACAGAAACTGAACATGTTCTTTTTCATGCTCTTCCTTCCCGTGAGATGGGGAGGCAGTCTACTAATAGGAACATAGCAAGAGCCAATGAATATCCTTCAAAACAAAGCAAACCAAACCTTATGTTTCATGGGTCATGGAGTATAGATATTTACATATATAGTGGAAAATCAGTGAGTTCATGTTGGGTAAGAATGTACATGCCTGTAGAAAAAAAATACTGCTTGTTGGAACAGTTTTGACTTTGTAAGAGGGTATCCTTGGCGCTTCATATTCATATACATTTGTAGATTGTAAGGTTTACCTTATCTAGCCTCATTTTTCACTATTGCCTGGGAGGGCCAATCTGTTTGATTTGTTCTCAGTACTGCTACATGGCTCACCTTGCTACTTTCTTTCTCTGCCTGTGGTTTGCTGCCAGGTGACTACTTTCTTGCTTGCACTTGAGTGCCTTTGCTCTCGTGCTCTCTCTCTCTTACCTGCTCATGTGGATATTCCCAGCTTGAAGATTGTGTATTCTCTTTATCAACTCGAATCCTCCAGTGCCTTTAAATTTATGATGCAGATGATGTGTATATATACACACGTCATAGTTTTATCTCTATCTCTATCTCCATCCATCCTTCCTTCCTTCCTTCCTTCCATCCATCCATCCATCCATCCATCCATCCATCCATCCATCCATCCATCTATCCATCCAGCCATCCATCTCCATCCATACACACACTCATACACAGGGTGCCTCCTACTTTCCCCAGGATAGTTTTGGTCTGCACCAGTTATCCTGGCATAATCAATAAACAGTGGCTATTTTCACACTTACTATTCTCCTAATTTGTATCATGAATTATATAGTTCACATATTTTTCTCTTATTGACTCAATTATATCTGAAGCTCCTCAGGAGACAGTATTTTTTGTTTGTTTGTTTCCTTACTATTTCATTGCACCTGTTATGGCACTGTGCTCAATGGTGGAGCTTAATAAATATCTTTGGAAGGAAATGAAGGACTTGGCAAGTAAATATGCTCTGTGCGTGAAATATCCATTCCTGCTGCTCTGTGCAGGTGAAGTCTTGGCATACACTTTTGAATGATGAGAATGGCAACTTAGGGTTTTCTTCAAAGTTTAATTATATACTAAGTTTTTTAAAAACTGATTACAAACTGTGATTAGATGTCAGTTGAATGCATGCCTTCAGTGAATCTTACCCCATGGTCTTTTCCCCATTTTCCCCATTGTAACACCACCTTTCTCTTACATGGATAAGTGTCTTCTCAATTTGTCATTTTACCTTGCAGGTGCATCGGGTGCTTATGTTCACCACAACTGCCCTCACCTGCATTGCTTTTGTTATGCCATTTATATACAGGGGAGGCTGGAGTAGGGTAAGTATATCTTAAATAGGATGTTTTTATATAAATCCATTTTACGTCAAAACAGATTGCTGTTTTATTCTCAAATGATGGGTAAAAAGATATTTCTTCATCGATCCCTCTTTCTTTCCCTTTTGAATCATTGGATGGCTCTTTCACATGGTTAGAGGTTGGGGTAGGGTGAGGATGTCAGTACAGATTATTCAGTAATGAAATGTATTTGTAGGCTGCATCATGAGTTATATACATGCTATAGCCTTAGTTAATTTTTCTCACTATAGAGGGATGACAATTCAATGTGTGATGTCTCAGGAACATGAACAATGTGAGATGGTTTTCTCTAACTAGTACTATGATGACCACTAAGCTAACATAATTTGGATTTCTACTCTGTACCCAGTGGTTCTCAGTGCTTTATATGTGTTATCTAATTTAAATCTCAGGCTGGGTGTGGTGGTTCACACCTGTCATCCCAGCACTTTGGGAGCTGAAGAGGGAGGATTGCTTGAGCTCAGGAGTTCGAGACCAGCCTAGGCAACATAGTGAGGCCTCATCTATACATATTTTTATTAAAAAATCTTTTAAATTTCAGATTAGTAGGTATTAATAATAATCCCATGTCACAAATGAAGAAACTGATGCTTATTCCCAAATCTTTATCTCCAGTCCAGACTTCTCCCGTGACTTGAGACTCACACATCTAGCTCACATTTCATGCAGGACCTTGACTTGCATGTCTAAGACATCAGACTTAACACGTCCAAAATGGGACTCCTGATCATCTTTTCTCCCAGGGCTGCTCCACCCACCGCCACCTCCATGGTAGCTACTGGAATTCCATTGTTAGATCAAAGCCTTAGAATTATCATTAACCTTGGAATTATCATCTCTTGCACATCCGATGTCAAATCCATTGGGAAGTTCTATTGGCTCTACATGTAAAGTATATCCACAGTCCAACACTTGTCACTGTCATCAGATACTATTGTAGGAGTGTGAGCCTCCATCATCTTTTGCTTGGCCATTGCAGTAGCCACTTAACTGGTCCCTCCACTTCAACCCTTGCCCATGCACAATCTATTTTCTACAAAGAAAACAGTTATTTTTTAAAAAATGTAAACCAGGCTAGGTGTGGTGGCTCACACCTGTAATCCCAGCACTTTGGGAGGTAGAGGCAGGCAGATCTTGAGGTCAGGAGTTTGAGACCAGCCTGATCAATGTGGTGAAACCCTGTCTCTACTAAAAATACAAAAATTAGCCAGGTGTGGTGGCGCACACCTGTAATCCCAGCTACTCAGAAGGCTGAGGCAGGAGAACCACTTGAACCCGGGAGGCGGAGATTGCAGTGACCTGAGATCGCACCCCTGCACTCTAGCTTGGGTGACAGAGTGAGACTCTGTCTCAAAAAAAAAACAAAAAGTAAATCAGACCATGCCATTTTTGTACCCCAAACTGATTTCTCTAATGTCTCTCAATTTTATTCAGAGTAAAAATCAAAGTTCTTCCAGGGACCTTCATGACTGGCTCCCAGTTATTCTCTGAACTGACCTCCTCGTCCTCCATCTAGTCCATCTCCTTCCATACCAGCCTCCTGGCTGGTATGCAGACATGCCAGGCATGCTCCTGCTTTATAGTCTTTGCCATCATTCTTCTTTCAGCCTGGCACGTGCTCCCATTACTCCCTCACCTTCCTCAAGTCTTTGCTCAAATGGAAGCCTCTCAGAGAGCCCTGCCCTGCTCTGTTTTTTCCCACAGCACTCTTTATGTTATGCCATTTCATATAATTTACTTACTTGTCATATTTTTTCCTGATCTCCCTTCCAACACTATGTCAGCTCTGTTAGAGCTGGGATATCCACTGGTATGTTCAGAACAGATTTAAGTATGTAGCAGGTACTCAGTAAACATTTAGTGAATGAATGAATAAGTCTTATTGAGAATAAGTGATATAAGTTAAGTTCAGAGCCTGTGCTTTCATTACGCTTTTCCAGTTTTTATAGCCAATGAGAATTTGATATCAAAATTTCGTATTTCAGAGCTTGGGCTGGTGCCACAGGGATAAGATTGACGAATCCTGGGTCACAGATATTACTAGGAAATCTCCCTCCTGCTTTTTAGGTAGTTTTTGTGTCAGTCAACCTATCTTTTTAAGGAAGTTATGAATATTTTGTGATATGAGTTGAGACATGAGAACTTTATTTTAATTCAGACATTTGGGACAAGGGTAACACTTATTTTGTAATTGTCTAGTTTATAGCCTTTGCAATTTATGAATACGATAGAACAAAGGTTAAGAGCACCATTCTAAAGCTGGATTCCTTGGATTCAAATTCTGCCACTATGACTTATTACCTGGCGGGCACACCTTGGGCAAGTTATTTAACTATGACCCTCAGTTTACTCATCTGTAAAATGGGGATGGTATAGTATCTATCTTACAGGCTTTCTGTGAGGATTGGGGATAAAATAACTCAAAGTACTTAGGATAATTCCTAGCACATTCTAACACATGCAAGAATCTTGTTACTGCTGCTGTTTTATTTTTTATTAGAGACCCTTTGTATCTCTAAAGTCATGGTTATAAATTTACCCATGCATCACTGAGTCCACGGTTTGAGAATGTTTTCATATTGTTCTTTTGTTAGCCTTTAGTTCCTATTTACAAGGACTTCCTATCATGGCTTAGAAACCACTATGTCCCCGTTTCTAGGTCACCGATACAAATCTGTGCTACCAAGCATGGGCATCACTGACAACAGACAGTAGTATCCCTCCATCCAAATGTGTTACAGGTTAGAGCATCTTCTTAGCCCTTCTCTTAAGTGTTTGAATGAAAAATCATTGCACAAAGTGGTCGAATCCAACTATCTGCTGTTCTGAGCAGGCACGTGACATCACTAAAGGAGGAATGCAGCAGAAACTATTGTGGTAGTCTGTCAGTACTTTTTCTTGGGTTAGATCTTCATTCTGGACAGAGGTGATAAGCTTTTAATACAGTGGCTATATAGGTTATTCACTGAATCAACAAACATTTATTGAGTGACTAAGACTCTGTTAAGCTCCAGGGTTACAGGGAGTCATATAGAACCCACGGTTCAGGGAAACATAGAGGGCTAAACCAATTATTACATGCGCTGGGGTGATTGCGCTTGACATGGGGACACTAACTAGTCCCAGCTGGGCTGCAGATGGCTGTTCTGATGTTGGTGGCCATCTATTAGGTTGGTGCAAAAGTAATTGTGGATTAAAATACTTGAAAAAAACTGCAACTACTTTTGTACCAACCTATAGCATCCTGATGGGGAGAGGTAGCATTCTCTACATGGATTCCACCACAACCATTTACATACTGTGACTGTGGACATAGTTCTTGATATCTCTGAGCCTCAGTTTCCCCATTTGTAAAACTGGGATATTGATAACCAGTTGTCAAACATTGTAGTGAGAATTAGTGTGTGTAAAGTATGTTCCTGGTACACTGTGTATACTCAGTGAATGTTGCCTGTTATTATTATCATCATTATTGAATGTTTAAAGCCATGGAAAAATACTAAGAATGCATCTGTGTGTATTATTTTTAACTTGAGGATTTAAATTGATGAGAGAGATTGAGGCCATTGAAATGGTGTAAATTTGTTTAGCGTGCAGGTTACCACCCATACCTCGGCTGTATAGTGATGACTTTGGCAGTTCTTCAGCCTCTTCTGGCAGTCTTCAGGCCACCTTTACATGACCCAAGGTACTTAGAGCCTTTCTATATAAATGCTCTCTTAATGTAGATATCATTAGTGGCAAACTAATCTCTTTTCAAATGGAAAAATTTTGCATTTTATAAAATTCAGTGATAAATTATAGTTACTTTGAAATACTTTAAAATGCATTTCAGATATCTAATTCCCAGACAATAAGGGAAATTACATGCTCTTTATTCTATTGGGAATTAATTATAGTTCCATTGCTTTTAAGAACACTGACTGGTTCTTATTTTGGTAGAAGGCAAATGTTTAACTGGACTCATTGGAGTATGGGAACAGCTGCTAGAATAATAGCAGGTAAGAGATTGTGATGCCACTTATTCATATATAATTGCTAGCTGTTTATATTGCAAGTTGTAATTTGGCTTAAATGATTTTTAGATGCATTAGTAATTGGAGTAATTGGTTGTTGAGGAGAAATCAGCCTTAAACGTTGAAATCCAGAAAGTAATTTCTAGAGGTAATGATTTAAGTCATTATTTCAGTTTTAAGTTTAAGGTCTTTAAAATAACTTTAAAACTCTCATATTAAGACTTATTTTAGCATTTGCCTTTGCCAGCAGAATAAGCTATGCTGATGGCCAAACATTTGAGTAGCTCAAATTGAGGGTCATTTGTGAATTGGGTTGAGGTGGGTTGCTGGGTTCAAGCTTTCCATCTCCAGGTCCTTTCCACGGGGCTTGTATCTTCCAGGGTAGGGTGGTTTTCAAAAGTCAGGAATAATTATACAGTGTATTTTGATACCTTGTATAATAAACACCTAAGTAGGTACCTTCTACCCTAACACTGCTATAGTCTATGGGATTCTTTGTCGGAGGGGGAGTCCAATCAACCATGGTTTCTATACTTTTCTCCTTTCATTCATTGCAGACTTAAAACAATCTGGAAAATGTGGGTGCATCTCTCTTAACAATTGGTCCATTATGCAGCCATAAAAAAGAATGAAATCATGTCTTTTGTAGCAACATGGATGCTGCTGGAAGTGATTATCCTACATGAGTAAATGCAGAAACCGAAAATCACATACCACACGTTCTCACTTATAAATGTGAGCTGAACAATGAGTACACACGGACATAAAGATAGAAAAAATAGACTCTGGGGACTCCAAAAGAGGAGCGGGAGGAGTGGGGGAAAGAGTTGAAACACAACCCTTTGGGTACTGCGTTCACCACTTGGGTGATGGGTTCACTAGAAGGCCAAACTCCAGCGTTATTATGCAATATGCCCTGAACTGCCCCCATAACTGGTAAATTCATAATCAATTGCCCATCTTGCCCTATCTAGCCTTATAATTTTAAAAGCCTAAATCAGCTATTTGGTCTTAAATATTAATCTTTTTTTATCTCAAACTCTTTTAGTATGTTTTACTTGACAATGCACATACACACACACACAATTGTCTCTCTAGGTGGGACAACATTTGAGTATAACTTTTTTCTTTTACATGTAGTGGCAGCGATGTTCCTGGGAATGGATTTACCAGGACTGAATCTTCCTGATTCACGGAAAACCTATGCAATGATTGGATTTGTAGCCTGGCATGTAGGGACTGAGATTGTTCTGGAGGTACATGCTTATCGGCTCTCTCGCAAAGGTAATCTGCTAAAAAAGCCACGTTATGTAAAATCACTTTTATATAAACCATTGGAAAAGAATGAGTTTCCTGATAGTAACGGCTATTACATTGGTAGCTCACTAAAAATTTGTGATCACTCAGCCAGTGGTAGAAATGGTGGAGATTTTCTGCCTTTGTTTTTTTTACAATTTTTACTATTAGAAGTTGTGAATAAGATATAAAGGAAAGGTTTTTAGGTTTTGCGGGGGGGGGGGGGGGGTCCTTCCTTGTAAGTACTTTCACTTTGCTGGTCTGACTTAGAGCCAGTATGGACTGGAACTCTGAATCCTAGAGCTGAGGGAACCCTGAGATGGTGGAAGAAGAGACTCAAAGTCAACACTGGATGGAGCGGCAGACAACTTTGACCTATTTGACAAACTTACTGGGTGCTGTCATTTAGGTTGCCATGTGCATAATTATATAGCTAGGAGCAAGCCAGCTAGATAGGAAAGACTGATTTTGCCTTTGCTCTTTAGTGACAAGGTCTGTTTTGGTGCCAGGCAGGGTCAGGGTACCTATAGTCACCATTAGGAGTGGAGAAATTAGTAGGGAATGGGTGTCATTTTAAACTACCCTGGATTCTAGACTAAATGTCCTTTCTGTCCTGCCTGGTTTTCATCCTTTTCATCCACCAAAATAAGTGAAGGTGGCCTTCTAAAAGCAAAAATTATTTGTTGTCTAGTATATATGTTGTAAACTTGGGAGAGCCTGGGGTGGCTTTAGGAGTGGAGTAGTACATATCAGTCCTGCTACTTTTGATCCTTGATAGGCTTATATATGTGGGGCTCTTGATGACCACTGAATTATAGCTTACTGTTTTTGTTTGTTTGTTTGTTTGTTTTGAGACAGAGTCTCACTCTGTCACTCAGGCTGGAGTGCAGTGGTGTGATCATAGCTCACTGCAGCCTTGAACTCCAGAGCTTAAGCCATCTGCCTGTTTCAGACTCCCATCTAGCTGGGATCACAGGGATATGTCATCATGCCCTGCTAACTTTTTAAATTTTTTTAGAGACGGAGTCTCACTTTGTTGCCCAGGCTGATCTCAAACTCCTGGGCTCAAGTGATCCACCTGCCTCCTCCTTCCAAAGTGTTGGAATTGCAGGTGTGAGCCACCATGCCTGGCCAATGGCTTACTGTTTAAAATACATATATACTTAAAACTTGGATAGTTATCATATGTTAATTAGTTGGATTTAGCTATTTTATAATGTATGCATATATCAAAACATCATGTCATACACCATGAATATATACAATATTTTGTCAATCAAAAATAAAGAAAACCAAAGAGCTTAGATCATTATGACTTTTAAGGCATATTTTAAGTTACTCAACAAATGTGTACTCTTGCCAGATTGTCCACATTTGTGAGAGGCTTAATTGTTGAGGAAGTTTGCAATAATTAGTAGCTTGGAATGGGAGAATTTCTACCCTGGAAATTGGGGTGAACAGCACAAATCAGGTGTTTTTAAAAATTTAATTTACCTGCATAACGCTGCCCTTATAAACTTATGTTATTATTCTTGACAGTTGAAATATTAGACGATGACAGAATTCAGATCCTTCAGTCATTTACTGCAGCGGAAACAGAGGTAAGTCCTTTTCTTGTTCATTGACACAAACCTTAACGGTAATACTTTTTTTTTTTCATATCTCAATTTTTCTTTCAGGGTCATGCTTTTAAAAAGGCAGTGTTGGCAATTTATGTCTGTGGGAATGTTACTTTTCTCATCGTATTTTTATCTGCAATCAACCATCTATGAGCAAGCAAAGACCTTGGCTTTTGCAGGCCGAGTGATAATTATCATCAAACCAAAGAAAGCTGAAGCCTGTCCTGACTGCCTGGAGCATATTTGTGAATTCTCACTTGGAAGACTGAGGTCATGCCTGTAGAGGAATTCTGAAGTCCAGCCTCTAGAGACCAACATTCAAGAGGGTCCTACAGACTACAAATTAATGTCATGCCCTATATGTAATTCTGGGTCTTAAAGGAAAGATTGTACTTCAGGAGAAGTAACTCAAATATTTCTTGCCAAGATTTTAAGAATGTTGGTATTTAAGGAAATAAATAGTGATTTGGAAAAACACAACAGATGTCACTAGGATAAAAAAGAGATATATTACAGTAACTATATTTTGAACTACAAAGGTGCTGTGGTACTTTAAAGAAAAACATTTTTACTAGTTTATCTGAATGGTCTGTGGACTTTATTTAGAAACTGTTTTTCAGTTTAGTTTTTTGGACATATCCTTTGCTCAGTGTATTTCCTTACTTCTCTAGTAAAGGTGGAAATGAGGCAGACGCCATTGTAGGTTTTACCAGCATTTAAATATATTATGAATTTCTTAGCAATGAACTGCAAGTATGCATCTTTTACTTAAAAGACCCATTTATGTCTTCAGGTACAGAGATGAAATAGCATTTTATGTGTTGTTTTGGCTATAGAATTTAAGTCCTTGTAGCATTTGGGGATTATAGACTTGGATTTCAAAATGGATAAAACTCACCCTTGTGAACCTATCTAATAGATATTCTGTTTACTTGTAGAAATAATATAATGTGTCTCTGTTTTGTTAGACATTTTTGATGCTCTTCTGAATCAGAATAGTCAGTGTTATCTTCCTTATTTCAAGAATTCATCTATTTTATGGCTACATCTCATATGTGCTATGAGGACTTCTAGCCAGTAGGTGGCGCTATAATACCGAAGTACTGTATTGCTTTGTTCCTGTTTCCTTGTTCTGATTCCTTTTCAGTATTTAGGTAACATTATGGGATGGCATTTCCCTTAAATTCCACCAACTCTTCTTAATCTTTATTTTAAAAATGTCTACTTTTTTTTTTGGGTGGTTGGGGTAATGGGTTAAAACGTTAAATTAGTAACCACTGTTTATTTTCCAGTTTGTTTTCTGTGATTATTTATAACAATTGTTTGATACTTGTTTTTATGGTCCCCTGACCCTGTAATGAATGAATGCAGCTATCTTAGGCAAAGAAAATAAATAAACTGGGCATTTTTAAAATAAAAAATTTAGGAAGTCATACTTTATTTCTTTAGGTATTCTTTCTGATTATGTTATAGTTACTGCTTGGCCCAAGAACCTAATTTCTATATGGTGTGAATAATAGCCTCAGCTGTGTAGCCTACATCTTTATTTTATTATTATTTTTCAAACATTTTTTCATTATTTCTTATTTTTTTATATCTTTATTTTTTGAATTTAACCAACTTTCTGCTAATAGCCTACATTTTTTACTGGGTAAAATAATGTGGAAGTTTAGTTTTTGTTCCTTTTATAGGTGTTTATCATAAGTGGCTTAGGGCTTAGATGTGAACTTTCTGTGTTCATATTCTATATGTGCTATACTACTTATAATCTAAATTTTCCTTTTGAATGTCTTTATTTAAAAAATTTAGTATAGCAAATTAAATGTGTACTAAAGTTATTTTCCTCCAGTTTTCTATACTAACGAGCTTAAATGTTAATAAATTTCTCTTAAGTTATATTCTACATCTGACAAAGAAAAATTCTCCCTTTTGTTTTTTTTTTTTTTTTTGAGACAAAGTCTCACTCTGTTGCTTAGGCTGGAGTGCAGTGGTGCAATCTTGGCTCACTTTAGCCTCTGCCTCCCGGGTTCAAGCAAGTCTTGTCTCAGTCTCCTGAGTAGCTGGGACTACAGGTGTGTGCCACCATGCCCGGCTAATTTTTATATTTTTAGTAGAGACAAGAGTTTCACATGTTGGTCAGGCTGGTCCCAAACTCCTGGTCTAAAGTGATCCACCTGCCTCAGCCTCCCAAAGTGCTGGGATTGTAGGCACGAGCCACTGTGCCGAGCTGAAAATTCTTTTAAGGGAAAGATGAGCCTTGATGTGTTTGGTCTTCAAATATGTGAGCTTGCTATATTTCCAGTGTTGAGGCTAAGATATTTTAACTTTTTCTTTTTCAGTGCTTCATATGTTGGCACTATTTTGATCTTTGTCAACTTACATACAGAGTTGCCCAAAGAAGCCTTTGCCATTTAATCTTTTATTTATTTTATTTATTTTATTTTTTTGAGACAGGGTCTTACTCTGTTGTCCAGGCTGGAGTGCAGTGGTGTGATCTTGGCCCACTGCAGCCTTGACCTCTTGGGCTTTAGTGATCCTCCCACCACCTCCGGAGTAGCTGGCACCACAGGCACTAACTCCGTGCACCACCACAGCCAGCTAATTGCACTTTTTTTTTTTTTTTTTTTTTTTTGGAGAAGGGATCTCCCTTTGTTGCCCAGGCTGATCTCGAACTCCTGGGCTCAAGCAATCCTCCTGCCTCAGACTCCCAAAGTGTTGGGATTATAGGCATGAGCTTTGCACCTGGCCCCAAATATACCAAATCTTTTGATTAGAATCAAATTATGATTCTTCTGCTTATGGGTGGTTGGTATCCACAAATTGCAAATTCCTCGTCTTCACTCCTCTCAGTTTTTCTTTTTGTTTCTGTAATAAACACTCTGGGCAGGTTTTCAAAAATTATTTCTTTTGATAGGAATTATTGTTAAATTAAATGCTTTTATATCTTTAGCAATGTTGCCAAAAACAATGAGCAAAATCATGTTTTCTTCTAAAAGAAGTGAGGCAATATAAAATAAAGATATGTATGTTTTTCAGAAAGAAATGAAAGAAATTCTAAAAAATTGTGGTTGAGCTGGAATTAATAGCTGAGGCAATAAAAAAATTCTCTGGTCTGCAGAAATCAATCTTAAGGGCATAGGTAGTCTATAGGATGGGTTATCAAATAAATGAATCAAATGCACAGTAGTACTTTATTTTTGTCAAGGATTTTGTCTCTAATGTGTGTTAAGCAATGCCTCATCCCTTCCACATCCTGCCCCAGTCCAGGCTGCAGTGGGAATAGACAAATGCAGCAGATGCCAACTAGGAAGTTCTCAGGGCACATGTAGTGTT